ACCCCGATCCCGACGCGCGAGATGTCCGCGTCGCTCACTGGTTCCAACTCGGGAGTTTTCTGGACACGTCCTTGAAGGGAAACATCAGCTTCAGTCTCAACGTAACAAAACAAAGCATAGCCGTCGCTTGGGATTTGCACATCGAAGGTCGCCTTCAATTTTACGGCTATGCAATATAACCACGTGCGTGTTAATTAAGTGGTATCCATCCGTTAGAACCTATGTCGAACTTATATTAACAGGACTAGTGGTCAAGCGCCATCAGAACACTTCAGTTTGCCTTCAATTTTTCGGATATGCAGTATCACGACGTGCGTGTCAATTAAGTGGTATCTATATCCGTCAGAAACAATTGATGCCGAATCTGTGTAAACAGTGTTGGAGATCAAATTCAATTAGGACACCTGAGTTCGCCTTCAAGTGCTCGATTATGCAATTTCACGACATTCTAGTTAAATAAGCGGTATTTTTCTCAGGAACTCTGGAAATCAACTCCTAAGCTAGGCACATACATGTTATCAATAGATTAATCATTATTGAATATATTTCTGTTATAGTAATTATTTCAATAATGCTTTTCATTAAGGTAATAAACGTAGAAAACGATTTTACAATTAACAATGTTTAAATAGCGAAAATAACTTCCATTTTGAACTTTGTCAGGGGTTCTTGTTTATATTTCGTTCAGGGATTGCTTTCCGAAGTTCTCGTTGTATGATTGGTTCTATATGTTAGATTTTAAAGGAGAAACATAGGAATTTTTTCTATTCAGACCTGATCCAATGCAACTTCAAAGCCGCAGTTTTTGCACGATTGTTGGAAATCCGGTGTGTCAGGTTTCCTGTGCGACGGTCGAGGTTGAGTGCTTGGCGCGGGCTATCATATCGCGGAACACATGCTAGTTCGTTGCGAGTCTGTTGGGCCTTTTATGCGAAACATCGCTCGCTCGAGTCCATGTGCAAGCATTCACGCGTTTATATTTTACCTCGTTTCTAACCTCTTCCTCTTCTTCGTCCTCGTATTCATGTCGTATTCATTCCGATGAGGCTTTTCAATTGGGTCTTGCCCGTCATGTTTCGGGGCGGGATCCACGTTTCGTTTCCTCTCCCTTTTCAACCGACGGACGACTCTTTGTTTTTTTAGTCGGGAAATTTTTTTGTCACTATGTCACTTGCTTTTTCCCTAGTAGAAATTTCGAGGTTATGAAGGAAAGTAGGACATCGGTTGTCGATTGATTTTTCACGAAGTGAAAGCTCTAGAGGCTCGGAAGTTTACGTGATTCTTACAATGCTTCAAAGGGACTCGCATACAACAAATTAAACCCGCCATTTTGTGTCCCATTCAAAGATGGCCCAATTTCCGTATCATAATTCTTCTGTTAGATCTCGTATTCAACACCATTCATTTTATTTCTTAAGCCAGCTTGTTTTCCCTACATTTAGCGTAAAGAGAAACAACTCATCTCATACAGCTCAGCTTATTCAGCCTCCTCATTTTTGGTTTTGAAAATGTTTTAAATTAAGACGCTCAAAACTCAGCTTTGCGCATTGATAACAGGCTTTCATAACGGTCATTATTCTCTTGCAAAATCAAACCCAGTTAAGATACGAAAAGCTCATATTTTTTACTTTTTTGTCTTGTTGTCAAAACTCCAGGGAAAGCTTTTGAGTCTCTTTTAGACAGCGCAAATTTTAAAACAAGCACTCAGGGTGGAGCCAAACCTGAAAGGTTAATTTAAATCCAAATGGGAGTACATATTATTAATGTCGTATTAATTATTTTACCCTACCGATAATTGGCTACATTATTTTTGGATTATGAACCCCACTCCGCGCACAAGACGGGAGCAAGTTCGCTTCCTCAATCTTTTATGAAGGCATAAACGGCTCGGAGAAAGAGATGGAATATTTCAAGAGCTACCACCGTCTTTTAAACTTCCGCGCGCTCTCCCAAATAATAATCCATCCTCGCTGGAACTCGGCGGAAGCGGTGCCCTCGCCCTTTTACGCCTTTGCGATTCAATTATTTACAAGGGCTTAAAGACCGTTTCCGCGGCGTGCAGTGAGCCCCGGGCCCCGAGCCCCGGCTCGTGTAAAATTCAGTGTCCGCGAGTTGAATTTACACCGACGAGGGGCCTACATGAATAGCGAAATGGAGCTTCATCATCCCCGCTTTTATGTCGGATATGGGTCAGTGGGATAGTGCGCCCTCTCGTGTTGGTTTGATTTCACCAAGTGCTTGATGTCACTCTTACAGGAAAAGAAGAAAGAAAGAGTTCAACAGAACGATCATGCATCATGTTATGCTATGAATGGAGAATTTGCAGACAAATGTCTTATATTTTTCTTTGCAAGTGCTTAAAGAGCTAATTTCTCAGTATTTTTTACAAATTTTTCCTGAAATGGAAAATAGCATAAAAATATGTTTAAAATTTAGAAAATTCACCGCCTGGTGACGTCATATTGCGGCATTTCGCAATTAAACACATGTTTTCAAGCAAATTAGATTATTGTGTCATATACCCTCAAATAATCGTTCAATTCATGAACCAAGCGTTCAGTCCACTCAGTAGTATCCACTTAAACACGAAATGCGTGAAATTTCATACCCCTGCAAATTCTCCATCGCTCAACTCTTGATGTTCCGTTTTTGACGTGGTATATCTCAAGTAAAACAATGGCTTTCATCTACTTTTATCACACTTTCCAGTGCTTATCCGACATGAACTTTTCTCTCGATGAATCGAAGCAATCGATCGGCCCAACTGAGCGGGACATCAATTGCGATTAATCGATTCTCTAAAGAATCCATGATCCCTACTCTAAGTCCATTCGCCGGCGGCCGGCAGGCGTCCGCAAAACGCATCTCCTATCGCGTTACTTTAACGTGCGATTTACGATTTCACACACGCCCTCTGGCGGTGGTAATCGGAATCGGACGCAGCGCGAGCCGCAATTCCCGGCGAATAAGGAATAATAGCATAATTCATTCAGAATTAATAGGGAAGGCCGAAGAAGCGGTTCTGGGGCCGGGGATGCGCTCACGGATCAAGATAAGCGAATCATTAGCTCTCAGTGCAAAATTCATAATTGCACCCCGCGCCAACGGTAGCGCGGGCAACCGGTTGACCGCAACCGAACGCGCTCTGTCGGGGAATCGAGGAATCGATGTCGAAATCCCGTATACCCAGGGGAAAAGTATCGAAAATCGATCGTCTGGATCCGATTGTCTCTCCGACGCCAGTCTCCGGAATGACTGACTTCTCCTCTCCGGTCAACAGATATTTAAATAGTGCAACACACTCCTAAGCTGCTACTTGTATTTACACCCAGGAGCACAGGGGCCTCTTCAATTACACGCAGCTCGAGATTTTACACGCACAGCCGCGTGGGATTCATTCTTCAGACATAATTCTGAAGCAGGGCTCAGAGCTTTTTCACAAAATCGCCATTCCGCGCTTGTGAAGCATCTGCTTATTTGACCTGACCGGGTTTAACAGGAAAGAACCAAGTCCCTTTAAGTTTGAATGGAGATAAAGAGGTTTGAATGGCTCATTTTTTCCGTAATTCGACTGGGTACCTTGTCGTTCACGGGTTCAATCCGGTCCATTTGAAGTTTGAGCGATGGCAGAGAAACATTCTGTAAGGTTTCGGCTGCCATTATTGCATTCGGAAAATTAAAATTTGACTAATTGTAAGAGTCACTGCACAATTTCACACGAAAGTTGTTTAATTGGCAGTTTCTTGGCCCACCGCTGAAAATACTCATTTGCGCCACTGAGGCCTCAAGGAAGCTGGTTAGGGAAGCCTGACATGTAAGGTGAAAAAACGCCGGTCTTAATCTATCAGTGGCCCATTAACCTTAGGTACAACTATTCCTTCTAAATGGATGTGCTTATTGCATGCTGGAAAAATGAAGGCGTTTTTATTTTCCTTGCTCACGGTATAGGTAGACGGAGTGGTAAATACTAACATAGGCAATCGTTCAGCCGTTCCTAGTGATGAATGAAGTATATGCGAAATCAGGCAAGCAACGAGGGATCTCGAAGATATTTCTGTCTGAAGGAGGGGGGGGGGGGCTCCGCCATCGATCAGTGACCAAAACTAAAAAAAAAGTCCTCCTGCGTCGAGTCGAGCAAAGATGCGTTGGAAACACAGAGGTGAGCTTGTCCCACGCTAGGTGTTCCATCTATTTTTCCGCGGCTATTTTCATAATTATTCCCGCCTTATTTATGGCCTTCCTTCGTTTTCATTCGGTTCGAGCGAACCCATCCGCGCAACTCGCCCGGTTGCCATGCCTCACCATATTTTTACGGAGATCCAGGCTAGAAGCAGGTCGATCTGGCAACGCCGGTCCCATAAAGTTTGCATACGCTGCGGGAATAAATGAGCCGACACGTTGAGTTTACACTTTACACCCGATAACTCACCGGTCAGGTGATAGTCACGCTGACTCGGACAGAGACAGACGGAGGAATTCTACCTACGTTTTGGAATAGGCCCTTCATCATACGAGGGAACGTTACCGGCAGGGCTCATTCTGAAGCGTTGGCAGCTCTCTTTCGCCCAACACCGTACACGTATGAGGCGATGAAACATCGCCTCTCCAGCTTTCGCAGAGTCGCGAAAAGGAAACCCGTTGATTGGCCGGGCCTTAAACGGTATGAGTAACGGAGAAGCGCATGGCTTGGGAAAATGAAGTAAAAAATTGAAACGAATCAAGAATAAATTTCACGCCGAGAAGTACAGCGGGCGTTAAGTTGGAAGGAGTGATGTGACATCCGAAAGCTGCTTTTTGGTCGTAGAACTCTCGGCTCTCTGATTTTATTCCACACTGAGCCGCTAGACAAGTTCTGAGCTATTAAATATCAGCCCATAGGATCACTCCATTTCCTCCTTGTCTATTGCTTTGTCTATTTAGTTTCAATGACGAACGCTATCAAATTTGCATGAAGCACTTTGCATCAATCCCTAATGTAATTGTCTCTTGTTGTGTTTTAGGCGGCGATCCACTCGGCTTCAAAGGCGTTGCACACGGCGCTGGACGGACGGGCTCAACTGGGAAATGTGACTGTGCTGGTCCCGAACAACTGGCCGCATGATCAGAGCTGTGTCGTTGGCGAGGTCTCGCAGGGTGAAACACCCGACGTCCGAATCAGTCTTCCGCATGTCGCCTACAAGGACTCGATCTGGACGCAGCAATCCCGCGGATGTGGTCAGGGCGGCGACTTCGTCTACATGAGCTACAGGACCCTCCAGGAACCAAGAGATCTAGGCAAGTCTTACAGCTTCACTCTTTCGTCTTCGTCTTTGGTTATTCACAAAATAAGGGATGAAACAAAATTCATGATACTGCAATACTGCATGCGTCGTGACCGGGGGACCCTCAGAATAGAAGTTTTATCTATCCATTTTGCATTAATACGTCTAAATGGGCCCTTCCTTACACCCCCGCCAAAATTTTTCCAGCCATGCTTATGCCTACGAAAGAATATTCGCGAGGTTGCCAATTAGGAAAGGCAGAAAGGCATTTATCTCCCATCCCTGAATTCGGCAGGTGCTCTCTTTAGGGGTAAATTTCCGATGAATTGAGAATTTTTTCACGAAAGGAATGTTTTCAGAGAGAGGGGGGTTCTATGTGTGATTGACACCCCCCCCCCAATTAGAAAAATTAAAATATTGCTCCCCATACAATTCGGGATGGTAGGCAAAGATGGGCTAACAGCTTTGTGAGTAGAGCAGAGCGACTGCGACTCTAAACGGTTCGCGGAAATGACGGGAGTTCCAAAACGGTATGCATGAGCAAACGTGCATTAAAGCCTAATGCCAGAATTTCGGGGGATATCATGAGAAAGATCTGAGATCCGGCGGAATCTGGCTCCGCCGGGTATTCGACCCTCCCACCACGCCACTAATTGCTCGTCGGAGATCCAGCTTGGAGTACTTTGTAATTGCACCGGCAACTAATTCACATGGCGATCATGTTGGGGACAATTTTGTTTCGTCAGAGCAACGTTGCTACATCATTCAAAGGACTCAAGTTTCGCCTTCACGTTTCTCCGGATAGCTAAGAAATTGATTCGAGTCCAGTGGCGCGACGTTCTTTGCGATATATCAATTGTTCTACTACTTAAACATGTGGAGAAGGATCGATAGACAGGATGTTCGCAACGAACACCTTAATAATCGATTCTTTACCTAAACTTCAAATAGAGGAATATCGATAATCGATCAATCTTATCTCGCCACGGTTCGAATCACTTTCAAATGAAGAACTCCTGCTTGAGCGCATATGTTGTCTGAAGATGCAGGCTTCCGTTTTAGTTTGATTGACAGTGAGCATTCGAATTCAAACGCTTTGTTTTGATGAAAACCCTGGTAAAAATTGGCGATAAGAGCTGCGATCCAAAAAACCATAGGAATTCTTATAGCCGGCTAAAGAAGGCTACAGAAAATCATATAGCTGGCTGTAGAATGCGGAGAAAATCATACGGCCGGGCTATACGAAGCGATAAAAAATTATGCAGCCGGGCTATAGTTCCTATCGCCGGGCTTAAAACTTTATCGCCTGGCTGTTGCTTATTCGCCATCGATCATAAAAGGCTATAAGATATTGTGTAGAAATTCGTGTGCTTTGGAAATCATTAAGTTTGATACAGGACCACCTTAATATTTACAAAACACACATTATATTTTCCTTTAATACATATTTTTTTCATCAATTAAAATGAGAATAATCCATACAGGTTGTGCAAATATTTCAAAATCATGAGTTGAATAACGCTGACTCCACCAGATTAAGCGTAGCGGCGACGCACTGGCGCCTACAAACCTAACAGGGATACTTCACGCATTGCGCAACGCGTGAAGTATCCCTGTTAGGTTTGTAGGCGCCAATGCGTGTTCCGCGCTGGCTGCCCGCCTGCCACGGCGCTTGAAGCAACTATTTCACACCAGACGTATTGCACAGTATCCTACGAAACTGAAGGCGCTCTAATATATTAGTAATGGCAGGCATCCATCAAAAGTACGGAGCTTTCCTCGCAAAATAAATCAAGATACTTCGGCCCAAAAAGAGAGCAGTATTCCAAAAACTCACCAAGTCCTAGACCACTCATCAGTCCTTACAGCCGGCTGTAGGTCTATGGTATTTTGGAACACAGATTCTACTGCCAATTTTTACCCGAGAAGATGATTTATAACTACTCATGTGCAATTGTATCTATGATTGCAAGCAGTTGTAGAAAATTTCCTGTTCTTTTAAACATTTCTCTTTGATGCCATGGTGCAGTCCTTACATTGCCATCCTAAGAAAACACACCGTATGAATCGTCGGACTTCACCAAATTTCCTTTGATAAAGCAAAATTTTTTTTGAGAACTGTATCAATATGTTTCTTTCAATTTTTCAGAGAATTTAATTCGTAATTTGTCTACGAATTTCAAAGTAACAAATGTCTACTTTCTCTCAAAAATAAATATTTCATCATGGGAATTTGGGAAACAACCGAATGTTCACCCAGCGCCCTTCGTCGGCTGGTCGAAATAGTAGGTTTATCATAGACCACGACTTCCGATTGGAAGCCTAGTAGAATCTCCCGGCATAGTGCGTGTAGGTAGTATTCAACGCTGGGTATGCAATTTTGTATCAAAGCGGATTGAAGGCGCGTCCAAATGGTTCCTACACAAACGCTTTGTATTTTCCTCTTTAAGTCGGATGATTTTCTTGCTTCAGCTGGGTGAAAACTTAATCTTAAACTTAGTCACCCAGGCGGAAAACTCAAAGTTTCATTAGCTCTCTTTCTATATTTTTAGAGTTTCATGCGTAAGATTGACGGTAATTCCAACCAAATTTTGTTTCCTATGCTTTCAACAGGTCGAAGCCTGGCCCGTGAATTTGTGAAGTATCGCTACGGAGTTTTCGATGAAGTTGGCTACATAAATGACCCTGTCTACCCGATTTGCTATTCGAGCGAGCCCTCACCACCTCAGATAACCGGATGCTCAGACAAGCCCATCCAGTCAGTCGGGTAAGTTCTATTCTTAAAACGCATTTTACGTATGCATTATCAAACCCGATTAAGTTTTGAAACCTCTCTTTTTCCCAGATTTTCGAACGTCCTTGAAGGTCTCAAAATTTAACTCCCCCAAAATTGAGACCAAAAATTCCAACCCTTCCCCCGCTTTCCACTCGTACGAGAGGAGAATTTTTGGAATTTTGGTTGGCTTGGAATTTTTTTTTAGGTTGAAAATCCGTTGATATTATAACGCCGACTAATAATCCGGTCTGTTTCCTTTTTTCTAGAATTTGCAGCAACGATCAAATGGTGAACACGAGCACTTTGGTCCACCCCCAAGCTCAAGCTTCCCTCATGTTTGCCAACGAAGCGAAACACATCACCAAGTTCTGCAGCAAGGAGACCCACAACAAGTACGCCCCGACCAAACAGAATCTCATGTGCGACCGGCTTAGTGTCCAAGATGTCATCATGCAACATCCTGATTTCTCCAACAGGTACCTATTTATACTCACTCAATACTCAACCGGTTTTTTTTTAAGAAGGTGAGGCATTTGCGACCGGCCACGGGAAAAGGGGCCTTTTAGTCTGCCAAAGCGAAATTTTCAGTCAAGAGCAATTGCTATCGAACTGGTTCAAACCCTGGAAAAACGACAACATATTTGTTTTGACCCACCAGCCACCAATCAGACAAGGTTGGTATCGAGGATCTTATTATAGTCCCTCATACTAGCTTGTCCGATGTAATAATCAGGCAGAATCATGGCTATTGGGGACCTATTTCTTTGGGCTAACATCCCTGGACAGAAGCGATATCATTCAAGAGGGACATTTTGATTCGTTTCGGGAATTTTTTCGAACACCCCCCCCCCCCCCACATTTCAGAGCAATTTTTCCTTCCCTGTGTAATATTTCCCCTTTATTTACAAACCTTTAATGTGTGATTCTATCGCAAGATTATTTTTTCTAAACTTATATTTTCTTCTTTCAGCACAAGCCAACCACCAGTAGTTCCCAGATTGCCCACGATAGTATACAAACGAGAGACTTTAACCCGATACGTTGTTGTGATTGCTGACACAAAGGATATGTCCATCCGAGTAAGTTCCTTTGCCATCGTAATTTAATCATCGCAATAAATCGCATTACAACGCACCATGAGGATTGATGAGCAAAGGCCTTCTAAAGCAAGATCTCATCTTGGAGCGCCTTCAATTTTTGTGATACTCCACGCTTCGTCGCGGAGTTAGTTTAGTTGCTTGTCCGATCTAAACCTAACTGAGGTTACGAACCTCACCACACGCTCTCCGGTGTGTGCCTGTTAAATAGTGCCATGTTTTAACGGAGGAAAAAGTGTCTATTCTTACTAAAGGCAAAATAATTTGTAACCACTCTAATCTTGTTCCTTTATTTATGAATTTTATGATTCTTTATTTATTCAGTAGTGGCTTGCAAATTGCCGGCGATTAATGATTGCCTCCGACATGCCGTATGCATTTTTTTGTCTTTGGTAGCTGGATTTTTTTTTCTGGAAATGAAATTTTTTTTCTATCTCTGAAATTTTTTTTCTCTTCTTTTATCTCTAGGAATCATGGAACTACTTAAGATTGGCATTCCGCAAGTGGGTTGTTCATGATTTACCTTCCAACACTGAGGTTGCTCTTGTTACAACCGGCGATCGCTCTGCAAATCGTCTACGAATCCTGAGCCCTCTACAAACTTCAAACGAAAGAGACCTGGTCGCCTCAAACATACCTTATACTGCAGGAGACTCAAGTGCTCCAGCTTGCATTTCATGTGGTCTTACAGAGGCTACCACGGTATGTATTACATCAGCATATTACTGACCTACATCATTCCTACACAATAATTTTTGAAGATGCAAATGGCTGAGGATGCTCCAAGTTTAGGTGTTCTAAATCCTAAAGGAAATCACCCAAAAAAGCATGTAAATGTGGAGATTTTATAAAAACAAGCATGCTTTTGAAGTCCTCTCAACAAGTACTCATTCATGTAAATTAATCAGCACTTACTGAAATAATTTGCCAAAGAAAAGATCTTCCTCATACTACGATATACTTGTTTATCCCCCCCCCCCTCTCTCATAATTCACTCATTGAACCTTTGTTTGCCTCAAATTAGTCCTTATTACACTCCGACATTCTCTAAATAACTCCTAAAACATCAAGATTAGTCTTTTCAATGAATCATTATTTGATGGCCAGATAAGTTTCTGAGACAGTTATATATAATGTCTATTTTCTATAAATTTTTTTTGAAAACTTATCTTCAATTTACTGTATTTTTAGATCTTGGAAGAACGCACGAGGGCAAAAGGACCGGCCAGTTCTGTAATTGTTCTCATTGCCCCTGGAATGAGCCCTGACTCACTGAAGGAAGTCAACGATGTTGTGAATCGAGCTGTTAGCCACAAAATTCGTATCGCAACTATCACATACCCGGAAATGTACAGATCAAAATCACTCGATTGGATGGCTCACAAAACTGGCGGTGTTGCTTTCACTGTCTCTGAAAGTAAACACAACATGGACACCTCAAACATCTTAACCTACTTCAAACTCACCAATGTCATGTACAACCTCATTGAAACATTTTACCAAGGAAACAAGGCAGATTTACCCATTGAGGTATGTAATCTTCTTTTTCTCTCAGCTGAAAAATTTAATCAGGGAACCTCAGTGTTTCAAATTTTAATTATTATTTAGAATTACACGTTCATAAAAATTTATTCCTGTGTTCGAGTAGGTAATACATCCCAATATTATACTTAAGTTGGCTTTAGCTACCAATACCTTTTTTCCCCCGCTATTTCCTCTACTTTCATTATTTTTATTGTGTGCAAATTTGAAATTAAGGTCGTTGGATGGCAACAAAATTTTGAGAGCCAATCTGTTTTTATTTTTTTTTACATCTAAGTAAATTATTACTTTACTTTTTCAAAGCTTAACAGTTTGGTGCTTTTTGGTCTATTTTTTTTTTCACAGCATAAAGTCGAAATTTTTATAATGCCAATTAAATCTCCTCATGATGAAAGCTTTCAGGAGTCATTTAACAAAAACTAAATTCCACATCGAACAGCTTTCTTCAAACTATTATCTTTAAATAATATTTTTTATTATTTCTTTCATGTGATGATAGTAGCTATAAAATTTTAATGAGTTTTTCCTCTTTCTTTGTTGTAACAGATTCATCGGCGTGAACTTCATGATGATGACCGTATAACAAGTGTAACAGGATTTTTCTACCTGGAAGAAGGAATGGGCGATCCTGCTCGGTTCAACATCTTCACTCACAACTTTCAAAATCCTTTGATCCGCAATCTGGCCCTCATTAGCCCCTCGGGGAAAACATTTGCCACCCGATCTGATTCGTTGCTTTCTTTGAGACTTCTCAGTCTATCTGCTCTCATCAATGAGGTAAAGATTTTAATTTTACCAAAAATCCGAACAGCCTTAAGAATTTGTTTAGTTTCTTGGTACCAAAAATACTGAATTTATGCAAAAAATCCATGTGCTACCTGTCTTATTTCCTGTATATAAAGATTTCATCACACAAATGAACATTCTAGCAATCATGTGTACTCATCAAAATTAATAAGAGACTCAGAGAGACCTGAAAAGTAAGCTATGATAATAGCATCTTTCTCCTTGTAAAATAAAATAAAAAACAAAGCATAATTTCATTACTTTTAAAATCCATGAAAAGAACTGTTGTCAGTTGAATTTCTTCAAGAATTCATGAATGCATTTTCCATGCATATTAGTATCTATTCTCATATAATTCGCACACCCTCTGATTGCTTTATGTTAGAAACTTTGTTCTGATCTTACGAAAATTTAATTTACAGACGGGTAATTGGAGCTACTCAATCGACAAGTTTTTTGGCAGTCAACAATCAAACTATGTTCAGGTCATGGCAAGTCCAAGGAATCGCAAGGCTCCCATCATTCGTGCCAGACTTTGGACCAGCGAAACTCTGAATCCTTTTGTTCTCTACACTGAGGTGAGTAAAAATGAAAAAATCACTCAAATGAAATTTCTTTTTTCCTCAAGTATTTTGAATTTCTTTAAAGCTTATAAAACTGACTGTCCATTATTTAACGCATTTTTTTTTTTTACTTCTTGTCAAAATTCAATCTTAAATTGATGAGTTTTAATCACCAACTTTACGGAATGTTAGGCGAACTCCTTTATTTTTCATTTTCAGTGACCCTAACAAAGTCATTCTCTGCTGAATTATCCACTTTTATCTGCAAAAGTGGCACTGAAATTACAATGAAGACCTTTTTTATTAATTTCTGCTAAAATTGGTTGAGTCTCTAAAAGATTTTCCTAATGAAATTCATCATATTTTTCAATTGATGGTTTGAGATTTTTATCAACTAATCAATTATCTTTTTTTTTTTGTGCAGGTAAAATATGGAGAATGGCCCGTCATCAATGCTCGTGTCGAAGTTACTGTGACAAGACCTGGTGTAAATGGATCTAGCATTCATAAAGAGCAGTTTGATTTATTGGACACAGGAAGTGGAGGTATGTCTGAATTTCATTATTTTCATTTCTCTGGTTGCCTATCAAATTTTGCTGGATCATTTCATTCATTTAAGTCGGCATGTATGTACAAATGTTAAATTCAAAAGCGAAGGAATCCTTCAGCTTACAGCACTCTCTTTCTCCTGAAAGCACCTGAAAAGTTACCTAATTAAAAAAGCCATGGAAAGCAAAAACCTTTGTATTTTACATTTTTTTGGAAAACTAAGCATATCTAGAAATTTTTTTATGCCTAAATATACTTATTTTACTCCATACGTCCCTCTTCACCTCAGTACTTTTAATATATATCACAGCTAAACTGAATTTTTTTTCTTGTGTTTTCTTAGATCCAGACCTGATGAAACATGATGGAATCTACTCCCGCTATTTCACCCCGATTGTTGGTGGACCTGGTGTATACACATTTGAAGTCACAGTTTCTGATAACAACAATGCGTACACGTGGGACCAAAATCTGGAAATTCCCTCTCATCAGCAACCTATAATCATGGGTAAGTTCCAAAATACTGTTCAGAACAAACTCAGATTTTATATTCCTCTAAAAAATTAGTTCCATGCCTCTATATGCCTTTTTTTGTGCAACGCATAAAAAAATATGGATAGAGCACTCATAACATTCATGAATTCATGTTATGATAGAGTTTCCTGAATAATTTTGTTTTCATTCACCAAACTCTCTTAGAAAAGGGACAAAGGGCCTGTTGCAGAGAGTAAAAATCACAATTTTTTGCAAATATATATATTTTTTTTTTGGAGGCAACTTAAATTCTGAATTATCTACCACCTTACTCAAGGAAGCTCAGTGAGAAGTGAATGCAAGTACCTAAAGAAAAATCATTACTGAAATTTTCCGTTTGCTAAATTTTCAACTGATGTCAAAAATATCTGATTTTGCCATATTAACCAGTGGTGCAAAAAAATTCCAATGTTTAAATTTCCTTTATTACTGGCTATGCATAAACATCCAATTAATGTTTATTTTCTTGTCTGTTTCAGCTCCTAACTGTTGCGGCTCTAAAATGAAGCCCCCTACAAGAGAAAAAGCTGTGGAAGCCTTCCAGCGTTTCCTGCCACCCCTGACCGTAACATTCAACAGCGAATCGATGAATCCAGTTCCAAACGCTGGCAGAATCGGTGATTTAAAAGTTCAGCTGATCCCCGATGATATCAGCGCTCTCTTAACCTGGACTTCTCCAGACATGGGTGGTAGCTCAGTTGTACGTTATGAGGTCCGCTATGCCAACAGTGTTGAGGATATTGTAGATAGATTTGACTTTGCAACTCCATGGACCTACAGTTCGCCGTTCCCCTTGGCTCCTGGCTCGGACTCCTCCTTCACTCTTAACATGACAAAGAACCCATCACTGATGGGCCAAGTTTTATATGTTGCCATCCGAGGCTACAAAGACTCTTCAATTGATGCAACACCTGGACCAGTCTCAAACTGGGTCCGTATCCTGATTCCCTTCGCTCCAACAACCACAACTCAATCTCCATACGCTCTTTCCCCTGCTGATAGCTCATCCATCCTCGACAACCAAAGTGTAATTCCCAAAATTGCTGAAATCGAGTTCAACATGGAGATTATTCTAGCTGTTGCAGGTGGAATTTGTCTCTTAGCCTTGTTCTTGGCAATTTCATGCTACCATTGCCTCATCAAGCGGAAGAAGATTACCGAGAAAAAGTCCCCGAAAAATGGTAAAAACGAGAAACAAATCAATGTCTCTGTTGTTCCCACCTCAAATGGTGTCCCCAATGGGAGTGTATCCATTTCGTCTCCAATTTTAAGTTCAACAATGTCTAACGATATCCACTCTCAGACCCTCCCGTCACACTTTGAGCCATGTCTTATTGACTCAGACGATTCTAAAAAGCGTTACAGCATTGCTCAATACACGGATAGTCCATACCAGCATCAACAAGATATCCACATTGGCAATGGCTTGATGAGCCAAGTCAGCAATTTATCACCGAATGGACAACAGTATGTGGTCTCCAATGGAAATGGTACTCTGGTGCGAGGCCGCACTCTCAGCCCATACCAGTCATGGACAGCATCTCAGCTGCTCCTGGAACATGAAAGGCGGCACAGTCCATATGGTCAAGTCGGGGAGGACCAGTATGCTCCTCCGGTGCCACCATTACCATCATTCAACCAACAACAAGAAAGTATATACGGCAACAACTTGGAAAACCATCAAGGGTTACCACCTCCAGGTCAATATAGTAATAATTATCATAGGACACCTAATGGTAATCTAATGCTATTCAATCCTAGTCTGCAGGGTTCGTTAAGTTCTGTCAGTAGTGGAGACAAGAAAAAACGAAATGTAACAATGGTTTGAAAAGAAACTGTAGTTTAAATTAACCAATTTTTAGATTTGATCTAAGAGCCAAGACTGGATAGATTTGAGTAGTTAATTGAGCAATAATTCTGCTTGTTTGTACCTACTTAAAACACTTTTCCCCCGCCATAAGTAGAAGTTCCCAATTGCAGGCGTTAAATATGTACATTTTCTTTAATTTTCTCTTTTGTCTTAAGATACCACCATGATAAAGTGAATCCATATCATTTTGATAAAACTTGATATTTCATGAGGAGTTAAATTAATATTTTTCATTATTGATTTAAAATATTCATTGTTTCTCATTCTATCTCAATTTTGCTCAAAGGGACCCTTCAGAAAATTTTCTGTGGTGAAATTTTACCCTAGTGACCTTCCTCAATTTGTTTTCTTTTTCTGTTACTAATCCAATTTCATCATTTTTTCAGCAATAAAAGACGAAACATTTGATCATTTTTTCCCGTTTTTTCGTTCTTCTATTGCATAGGAATTGATTTTCATTTGTTTTTGCTGCATACAAGAGCATACTTACTTTTAGATATTTTTCTTATTTTTATCAGTTCATTGTTTTTTTTTTTTTTTGGTAAAATTTTGCTACTGGCTTATTTTGAAAGGTCTTGTAAGTAGACCACTAATAGGCAACTAGAGATTTTTAAAAATCTTATATTTTCCCTTTTTTATGTGACCATTTGTTATAATTTGAACAATTTTGTAATATACATAATCTGTACTTTTTTTCCAAATGAATGAACGTGTAAATATGTATGTATTGAATTTTGATCTCAATGTTGTTAAAGTTTTTCAAACGTTGTGTTTGAATGCCAATTAGTGTATTTAAAATTACTGCCAAATCCGCTTTTGGTCTGAGAGATATGACTCTGTGCTGGTACGCAATCACGTTTCATCGTATTGTATTTCCCCTCAGGCATTGTCCAAATATCTGCAAATTGTGATGTGTCTCTCATTCCTGTAGTAAACAAAGTTTTCTGCATCTCTGGATAGTAAACTCGATTAGGTATTTAAATAAAAATGCCCCATTTTTTAAAAATACTAAATATATGAGTAAAATCAGTTTCTCTTCGTTGTGAAAAAATCTCTCCCAATTTTCAAAGTTTCAAGTAAGTGTTTACTGTGTTCTAGTTGAATATATCTTTGTCGGTACTTGATATTTTAAAAAAAAAATTTAATTATTCTAATGTAAAGTCCTGATCAGTCTAGGATATTCTCTATTCCTTTTCCATAACTTTTCATGGCTGGTTAGGTTTAGTATTATTCCAGGTGTTTTGGACAGAATTTGTTTTTCCTATTTGTCTCCAAGTACTTTTTCTTGATATAGTTACCAAATTTGTCTCTTTAGCTGCCAGTCTAAATTTGGGGAGGTGAGATTGACTTTGTCTTGTTTTGTCAGCAATTTACTTTACTTAGTCCAATTTTTATTCCAAAGGTATGTTCAAACACCTTTTATGAGGATATTTTCTCCTATAATGAGGATTTACTTTTTCGTTCGATTTTCGCGTCTCTTAATTTAATTTAAGTAAGTACATTCAGCCATTAGCATTTATATTTTCCACCTGTACATAGTGTTTTTTGTATCAACGTCTTGTAAATTTGTATACTTCTGTTCGATATCTTTATCCAGCAAATTTTGTGTAAACAATTATTTGCAACAATGTACTTAGTTTTCATCGCTCTGATTGTTTGTGTTTGTAAAGTATTTTGCAAATGATCTTTCTTACCGCAATTTTTCGCCTTGTTTAGAAATGGTAATGGATAGAAAAAGGGTTGCCTTGGATTTTTGAATGCATATCCATTGAAAATCATTGCCAAAATTACACTTGATTAAAATTAATTTGTTCTTAAAAGGCGTCCCATTTTTGGTGAACAATTTTGCATCTTTCCCTTTAATCCAACCGACTGATTTTTATTTTCGAAAGTCCTTTAATCAAATTAATCCTTCTGTTTGCTCCAAAAGTACCAAGGTACAGAAATGATAGAGAGATAAAAATTAAACCTAAGTAACAATCATCCTTCCCATTTGCTCCCTGAATTTATTTGGAATGAGTTGGTAGATCAATTGCAGTTCAGATATTTTATGTTTGTTTCCAATTTTGCAAACATTTTTTTACAAATACTCCAATACGCATTAATCTAGTCACTGTTATTATCAACCCTCCACCAATGGAGGTTTAAATTGTAAATTGAATTTATTTTCGAATCTGTGTTAAATTGACCATTTTTTACTGCGTTGTTTTTCAGAAAATCTGATATCGTATTTTGTACCATCTAGATTTAACAATTTTAATTGCCAGTGTTTGTTTGGAAAGAAGTACTTAGGAAGGAAAGAACAATTGACAGGAAGAAAATGGGCAATTTCATGCAGATTCAGAATGTGAGATAGTTCGTCTAAGCTCTTCATAGTATTGACTACTTGTATCTAATAAATGTTGTAAATGTAAATTTTCTATGATTTGTGAATAAAATTTTTATTGATCATTAATACAATGTGAGTGTTTTATGTCCATCATCCTTCAACTCCTCCTGTTGGTATGTAAATGCAACATTTTGAACCCTCTTGTTTTGAAAATTGGGCTATCACTTCATGGGAAATAAATTTTGAGGACTTCAAACCAATTTTTATAAAAAAAAATTTCAACGAATTTTTTGGCAGTGAATCAATTTAAATTACCAATTGTACACCGAAAAGAGGATGATTTAACACTCTGGATGTGAAAGAGTGTGCAAGAACTCACAAAACACTGAATTAACCACTGCAGCAGTTATTTTAGCATTGTCAAGATGTAAAATTAACTGCTGTGGCGGGTAATTCGGAATTTAGTAAGTTCTCATACACTTTTTATACATCCAAAATGTTAAATCAACTTCACTTTTTTTCGGTGTATCATTACTTTAATGGAACAAGACCTTGACCCATATCCGCTCACATTCATGTGATCAAGTGTTAATCTAATAGCTACAGTGAATTGGTTAAAGTGGATGATTATAGTTCAACATTTTTCTCCATTCAAATGTTTCCAAATTTCTAATTATGCTTTATTTACTCATGTATGAAAAATAAAAACGAAACAAAAATGGATAAAAGGCAAAAAGGTGTAGGTAAAACCAGGCATTGTCCTACCAAAAGATATGTCTAAATAATTGATAATTATAGTCGATGAACAAAGTTCTGGAGGCGTGTCCAAAGTGTTTCAAATGTCAATATTTTGAAAACAATATTAGAGGACATGAATGTCCGTGATCCATTCATCAAAAGGGGGAAAAATACCCGGGAATGACTCTATCAGTTTTTTTATTGAACATATTTAAACGAGTGAATGAAAATCACAATACATTTCGAGAAAAATTATGGATTAGGAGTCATTTCATTAAATATATTTATGAACGGAGGTTTACATTTTTACAATGTCGCTGAGTTACGCATCCTCTGACGTTGGCCGTTGATAAAAAATATCCAACTATCTAGGCACGATTCTGTACTAAGTGCTGCCATAAACACCAGAAAAAGTTATTTATCGTACCTACGTTGGAAAAATCACCAACACTTGTCTATAAACATTAATAGTTTTCCGCTGGCCAAAGTCCGAAATCATGTATCTCCGTTTGCAATGTCGTAGACCTCCTTTCATACTTTATTTTTTCTTTGAAAGACCAGTCAACTTAATTTCTTGAAGACTTCCTCAATTTTTCCTCTTGATCAGCAGAATGTTCCATAGAAATTTCAAGCCACATACTAGGTACCATACTCAGGAAGAACTCCTTAAGAGCAGGGCCGGATTAAGGGGGTGGCCACATGGACCGCGGCCCGTGGCGGCAAATCTAGGGGGCGGCAAATTTTGCAATTTTTTTTAATGTAGGTATAAAGAAAAATCGGATTTAGAAAAGAAAAATTACAAACGAAACAAGGCTACAAAATCTCTCATTTCCTGAGAGTATAGGAATTTCTAATTTTGTCGTATTTCAGTGATACAAAAGACAGCACCTTCAATTAGTCGAGTTAAGAGAGAACCCAAACACACAATTTGGCCTGGAACGGCGCGACTCAGTGAGAAATGATGACGAGGACTTGAGATGAAAAGGAGAAGCCCTCGGCGCGGCAATCGGCATGTAACACATATTAGCGCCTACAAGACTGCACGAATACTTCACGCATTGCATCAAACACAGTGTGGTCATTGTGGTCAGCGTGAAACGGATAGCGCCTACAAGAATGCATGAATACTTCACGCATTGCGCCAAACACAGAGCGATCAGCGTGAAACGCGTATCGCCCACAAGACTGCGTGGATACTTCACGCATTGCGCCAAACACGGTGCGGTCGGCGCGGCGCGGCGGCGGAAGTTAAAATCATTAAACCAAATTTTTCGTTTGTTCTTTCATAATTTTTTCGTTCATTTCTTATGAATGGAAGGCCTTGTCCATTAGAGATAGGTTTACGAAACTTGACTTTTGCGCTAAGTCCCGTGACCTTTTGCTAGTAATGTTGACAGGGCTTTCCCAAAAAATGTGTTCAACACGAGTAAACGCGTCTTATACACCCCTCCCCCGCTGGCACGTTCACTTGATGATTTTTATTGATATTTCAAAACGAATGAGAAGGGGCGGCAAAATACAGGCGGCCCATGGGCGGCAAGTAGGAAAATCCGGCCCTGCTTATGAGCCTTCAGACGTTATCAAACTTCTTCTGACCAAACACGAATCTTTGGGGAAACGTGTGAGCATTTTCCCTCCAAATTTTTATGGCATTTCGTTTGTAATTTGATTTAAGGTATTTGAAAATTTCAATGAAAAATATATTATAAAACAAATGTAATATGTAAATAATTATACTATTATTAAAATATTACATAAAACCACCCTCAAAAATAGGTATTTTCTAAAAGTAAATTTGGCAACGCTTGAATGTTCATCCAGCGTTTTCCCTAAGCACAGAAGTATAGTTTTTTTATATATATCTTTTAAAAACATAAAGTACTAGCAGAGATTTTGAGGCATTGTAATTGAGATACGTGGTTTTGCTCTTTAGCCATCGTCTGAAAGGATTTACATTGGATTTTTCATGCAATTCAACGTCAAACGTTTGTTGTTATAAATAACCCCCGAATTATTATCCGAACCACCCGGTTTGGATTTCCGGTTCGAATGGAAAAAAAAGTCGCTTGGATCTAGGGTCCAGACTCTTGAAAACAATGACGAGAAAAAATACTCTTGATTCAATCTGCTTTTTTCTTGACTCAAAAGAAACTCCGCTCAAACGAAGATACTTGCATTGGATTAAAAACTCACATTGGATCTAGAGTCCAGACTCTTGAAAACATTGACAAGAAAAAGGACTCTTGATTCGATCAGATTTAAGCTTAAATCAAAAGGAAATCCGCTCAAATTAAGAGGCTTGGTTCTTAATTTAAGCTTAAATCTGATTGAATCAAGAGTATTTTTTCTTGTCGATGTTTTTAAGAGTCTGGACTCTAGATCCAATGTGTTTTTTCTTTTCCCAGTGTGGTTCTTGATTTAAACAGAAATCCGGTCGAATCAAGAGTATTTTTTCTTGTCGATGTTTTTAAGAGTCTGGATTCTAGATCCAAGCGACTGTTTTTTTCCAGCGATCGGTTCGGATAATGTGATTTTATTTGACGAATTTTCTGATGTCGTTACTTTTGCCGGTAGTCCCAAAAGCAAGTGGAATGGTGGTCGTGGTGACGGTTGTAGTTGCGGGGGTGACCGGCTCCGAGTCTGGATCAGGCGTGAACTCGCCGTCATCGGAGTCGCCGCCGCCGAGGAAGTCCAGGTTGAAAATATTGGCGATCGTCGACGTCAGCGTGCTGAGCACCGTCGAAAAAATCGCCTGAACAGTCTCGAAGAACTCGGTCGACCCAGCGCCCTGGTGTCCGTTCGAGAAGAGGGCGCTCGAGTGCTTCTGGAACACGATCCTCATTATTTCGGACGGAACTATTAAATCGATTCATTTAGACAGGACCGTTGCACTGGGAAAAAAAACACATTGGATCTAGAGTCCAGACTCTTGAAAACATCGACAAGAAAAAATAATCTTGATTCAATCAGATTTTTGCTTAAATCAAAAGGAAATCCGCTCAAATTAAGAGGCTTGGTTCTTTATTTAAGCAAAAATCCGATTGATTCAAGAGTATTTTTTCTTGTAGATGTTTTTAAGAGTCTGGAATCTAGATCCAATGTGTTTTTTTTTTTTTTTTCCAGCTGCGAGGGTGAATTGAACCGGTTATTTTCCAAATCACGTAAGCGTCAATCCACACTTGGTGGTAGAGGGGTCGTTTTTTCGTGGTTTTCTCTGGTATAATCAATCATGTCTGATTTTGAAATGGCCTTCTAAGAGAACCTACATTTTTTGGAATTCGAAGATCATTAACAAAGCGAATAAAACGGTTTTTCTTGTTTTTCTCGCATTCGCAATTTTGGCGCTTGCGTGATTCGGAAAATAATCGGTTCAATTGTCACCCACGCAAGAAGCAAATTCGCCTCCTTCTCCTCACCATTGAATGGAGGCAAGCAAAGGCGAGAGAGAAGGAAAAAAGAAGGAGAAGGAGGATTTTTTAGATTTGATCGCGCGCTGAACTCCTCGAGGCATCGCCGAGACGGCAGAATGCAGGCAGGAGTCACTCCAGAGACTTTAACGCAAGGGAAGAAAAGTAGGCGTATGCAGACAAGAGGTATGTATGCTTTATCGCTTGACGCATGGAGACATTATTAGTCAAAGGCATGGATCCTTAGAAAAAAATCTTTGGATTAAAGCTGTGAGTATACCGAATTGAATGGTATAGTGAGTTTTTCCTGACGCTATTACACTGGAAAAAAAAACACATTAGATCTAGAGTCCAGACTCTCAAAAACATCGATAAGAGAATAAAGTACTCAACGAACGATTCAATCGGATGTTTGCTCAGCTCAAGAACCAAGCCTCTTAATTTAAGCGGATTTCGTTTTGATTCAAGCAAAAATCCGATTGAATCAAGAGTATTTTTTCTTGTCAATGTTTTCAAGAGTCTGGACTCTAGATCCAATGTGTTTTTTTTCCCCCAGTGTAGTTTATGAGAAAATTAAGAGGATACAGGGTCATTATTGTGTCTTTTTCCAATGATCACTTGCAATCAATGGCTCAGTTCAATTTGTCATCTCACAGAACTTCCAGGACTAGAAAAAGCTGAATTTGATTCACAAGGAGAAAAAGCTTTGGCTTTATAAATTAACTAGTGGTTCATATGAAATACCATTAATATTCGTAAATGAACTAATGATTCTCAGTCTGTGAACCATACTAAGGTACCATTACTAAGGCACGCTATTAGCATATGATGCCTTTACTACTATTAGTGGTGTTCCGTATGAACCACTAATTTCTTCATAAGCCATGGCTTTTTCTCATTGCACATCGAATTAAAAGCGGCATTAAATTCGGAAAGGATCTTAATGAATGGAATTTTCATAAAAGTAGAGGTTTGAGGAGTGCCTTAAAGTGCCTCCCACGATGTTTCCAGTCTTCAGAATGCTTACCCGAGCGTCTGTAGACCTCGTCCGTCGTTGGGGAACAACTAACACAACATTTGTAATTGGCATTGTGGCTGGTTCAATTGTTTTATTGTCTGAAAAAAGTACAAAACAAGCCCAAAAAATGTAGACAATACGATTTTCAATGCATATTCAGTTATCTTGAGCAAGTCTCATGGACAGAACTGTCCCTTGCTGAGGGAGAGAGGCAATGCAAATCGATAACTTTCGGCCCGTGTAAAGTTGCAGAACCTTTGTTCTTCCCATTGCACATATATCAGTCTGCAAAAAATATTGTACTCGAAACTTTGCCTTGGATTTTTCTTTTTCAATGCGATATGTTTTCGAAAATTGTTCAATGTTGCAATTCAAATGTCAATTCAAAATGTCTGTTCATTGTTTCAAAAATTGGATGCACTCATACTTAAAGCAACTATGTTGAACGCAGGCCCTATTCACATAGTCACTTTGAACATAAAGAAGTTTAATAGACTAGTAAGCAAGGTAGGAATTTAAGCATTCTGATACATGTTTCTACACCATACTTTTATGTAAAACACAACAAATATTTCTGAAATCAACTCCTAATTAAAATTTTATTTTACATTGGTTACGGGCGATTGGAATTGCCCGGTCACAAGAAGAACAATATACTCCACGTGAGACAAGTTATGTACTCCAGAGCCAAAGCGTCAATATTGAGGTTGTCATATATTTATTATTTATGTCGCAGGGACTGTCATGGTAAAGTTTATTGTCAGATTCAACTCATGTAGATTACATTATTTTCCATGAGCGGGAAGTTTAAATTCTTGCATTAAAAAATATCAAAAATGCCTTCTCATCGTGGATTTTTAACTGAAAAATTCTCTCAGCGTCATTCATTTTTTTTTTATCATATTTAGGAGTTATACCTTCCGTAATTTTACGATGCGCGAATCGTGTTTTACGGGAAATTTCAAATGTAACAGAATGCTTAACCTCGTACCTTGTCCATCGGTCCATTGATCCGAGTTCAGCAAGAAATCATCAAGTTTATGAATACTTGATATGAGGAGTGGAAATTTCAAAACCTGGTAAGCACCTGGTATTGTGTAACATTGTGCGAAGCTATTTTTCTCATGGAAGGAGAATCTGACCGCCATAGAACAACATGAAAAAATACCAAAATGCTGAGAGAATTTTTCAGTTAAAAATCCACGAGAAGAAGGCATTTAAGTCTTTCCACAACGCAAGGAACACCATCATAGCAACAAATTGATGGTCTTTCCGAATCTGCGTATATATTATTACAAAATGAACAAAAATGGAATTCAATCCATATTCCAATTCGCTGCCGACTGATGATGGAGCTGTAAGCTCTGAAACGCGTCTCTCCTAAAAAATTTACCGCAAGTGAGTAACGAAATATTTTAAAAAAATGGTTTTTTTTTATCATTATTGACTTGTGGCGCCCCCCCCCCCACAAGAAGTTTCTATATTCCAATTGGCTCGTTCGAAAATTGAACCAGCGAGAACGAAAACACACCAAATCGCGGTATCTCGAAAATGCTCGATTTTCATTTGAGACAGCCAATTTTCATAAAGGTAACTGAAGTTAGCGCATCTCTTCCAACTCGGACCTTTAAAGTGTCTATAAGTACTCGTCTTTCGGAACCAAAGACCTTTTTTTTAGACTGCCTTCTTCACCTACCGTGCGGTTTTGTCTGCGTCTTGATTACTGTCATTTAATCGAGTCGGTATGTTTTCGTTCTCATTGATTCAATGGACCACTAGACAAGGTACGAATTTAAGCATTCTGATACATGTTTTTTAACCAAAATTCCACGTAAAATGCGATGCGCATAGCAAAAGTTACCGAAATCAACTCCTTACGAAGATATTTAATGATTCCTGATGCGTGAACTCAAACCACCCGCTCAATAAAACTCAATGCTCCACGTGATTCACATCGCGCGTTGAATATTATCGTGACAATCTCTGCGATATGAAAATCTTGCAACCACAATTTTGACGCTTTGGCTCAGCTATAGCAAATTGCTTATGATTTGAACAACACATGGTGGGAAATGAACAGTGCTCGCTTGAGAGGCTTGCTGAAACCGTTGTAGTGCGCGATTTGACTCACGTAGAGCTTTGAGTTTCTTGTGAGCGGGCAGTTCAAATTCCTCATAACCAATGTGAGATAAAAACGTTAATATCTTCGTTAGGAGTTGATTTCGGTAATTTTCGTAGTTTGAATCGGGTTCTACGTGAAATTCTGCTTATGAAACATGTATCAGAATGCTTAAATTCGTACCTTGTCTAGTGGTCCATTGGTATTGTCCATTTGTCAAATTTTAAAGTTTTAGACTTTTGAAACTCGGAGACGGTGGAATCGAACGCCACGAGAGACGGCTCACCCTTGAAAAAGTACCAGCGGCCGTCGCTGCTGGTGGAGTAGCCCCAAGAGGATCCGGATGCGGAGATGTTCCAACTGGAAACGGGGAAGCTGGATCTCGTCGAGGCTTGCCACGTGACGTTTCCCCCCGGCAGCGCCACCCATCGCAAGCTCAACGTCTCCAGACCGTTACTGTCGCGGAAGTTGAAGCCTCCGCCTCGGGAGCCTGGAAACATCAGCGATAGTTGGACGTATTTGAATCAGTGAGTTCGAAAACACACCAACTCGATAACTCGAAAAGACTCAATTTTCATTGAAGACGGTCAATTTTTATGAAGGGTATTTTTTTTTTTTTTTTTTTTTTTTTTTTTTTTTTTTTTTTAATTATCCGGGACATTCCCCTTCTAACTTTATTCAGATATTTGTAAATACAAGGACATAATGAGTTTGTGTACATATTGTAAGGTTTACTTGAAGTTAATACAATTATTTACATTAATATCGAAAGGGACGGAAGTATCTGGTGATATAACTATCGCCCTGGTTAGAAAAAAATTAATATTATGATAGGTCAAATATAATGATATAATTTCTAAAGTTTATGAAGGGTATGAAGTTAGTGCATTTGTTCCAACTTGGACCTTTAACGTGTCCTTCAGTACTTGTCTTTCGGCACCCAAAGTATTTTTCTTTGACTGACTTCTTCACCTACTGAGCAATTTTGTGTCTATCTTCATTATTTTCATTTTTTCGAGTTGGTATGTTTTCGTTTTCACTGATTCATTTATGCTAAAAGGAACTACATATCGACGGTGAAACTACCAAACCACGTATCTCGTTTGCGGTGTTTAAAAATCTACGCTCGCATTTTATTTTTTTGAGGTAGACCAAATCAATATCATTCCTTGAAATTTTCACAGAATTTTCTCCGCACGAAGAGGAAAAATCACAGAAATTTTCGAGACTGGACGTTAAGTAGTTTTTCATTTAAAAAATAAAGTATGACAGGAAGTCTGCGACGTCGCAAACCGAGATACGTGGTTTGGTAGTTTCACCGTCGATATGTGGAAGTGGAAAGATGGGGTGTGCTCGTGGTGAGCTGGATAAGAAACAATGTAAAAGTGGATATAGTTCCTTTTGAGAAAACGGAAAAGCGGGATTTGACATTAAATTAAAAGGAGCTGAGCGCTAACTCGTGAGCCGTGAACATGTTACAAGAGCCTTGTGGACAGGTTTCATGAGTTAAAGACCGCCTTCCCGATCGTCGTTTCTCTCGTCGTTGCCGCTGACGTCACTGGCGCTTTGAAATCCCCATTCATTCTTATGGCCCTCAACTAACGAGCACAGGCACACCCCATCTTTTCAATCGCTCATAGTTCTATTTAGCATAAATACGTTCAGTCAGCCCTATGAAACAGTAGTATTTTTCGAATATGATGCGGTCTCTCAAAAACGTGAAAAATGAAAAATTACAAAGAGTTATACATACCTACAGCTTGATCCAAAAGTCCCGAACCATCCTCATGGCCCATAAGGTTCTTGCCCCTTTTCAGGGTGGCCCCTGGCATTTTAGGGGTTCTCAAAAGTAGTTGACTCTGACCCAGGAGGACGCACAAAATTTTACGTCTCTATCTCAATTTGATCAATAGTTACACTGCCGTGCTAAAGAAAAACGCCTTATAAACTCTTCGTCAATTTCCGAATGTTCTTTAATCGAATACGAATTCTCAGGAAAATAAGCTTGTGAATATTTTCCGTTCAAATTTTCAGAGAATTTTCTTCGGAGTTAGATCTATATCATCTGGAAATGTTCAGAGAAAATAGTCATAACTCTCCTTAAAAATAAACATTTTACTGGAGGAAATTTGGCAGCTCTCGAATTTGTATACGGCGTTCTTCCTTAGCACGGCAGAACAAGGGTGTGATGCCTGGTGCTGGTGATGCTAGAGTTACGGATGACCGTGTAAAAATCGTCGTTTCCTAGGTATGATGGATCCACACCGAAAAAAGAGTGAAATTGATTTGACACTCTGAATGTAAAAAAAGTGTCTGAGGACTTACAAAATGCTAAATTATCCGCTACGGCAGTTAGTTTTACATCTTGACATCGCTAAAGTAACTGCTGTAGCAGTTAATTCAGCATTTTGTAAGTTCTCGCACACTTTTTTTTACATCCAGAATGTTAAATCAACTTCATTTTTTTTTTTTCAGCGCAGATGCATCAAATTAATACCTTAAACTGGCAGCTTATTGACTAGTTACTGATCATAATCGTTTTACCGAATTAACTCTCCTCTAATACAAAAACAAAATTTTCACCTTCTTTGTCGAGTCCAATTCGAATTCTAGTGTCCCATGTACCGCCACTCCGCGAGTCCTTCCAGACCCAACAGCTGAGAATAAAGCCATCGCTTATTGATGAGTTCATAAAATAAATAGCCGAATTTTCATTCAGTCTCTGTAAATTCCAGTCCTAAAATACAGGAGCAAAACAAAATCGTCAAAAATTGAAAGAGTATCGACGGATCAAAAACTAAGCAACACTGGAAAAAAAAACACATTGGATCTAGAGTCCAGACTCTTGAAAACATTGACAAGAAAATATACTCTTGATTCAATCGGATTTTTGCTTAAATCAAAGAACCAAGCCTCTTAATTTGAGCGGATTTCCTTTTGATTTAAGCAAAAATCTGATTGAATCAAGAGTATTTTTTCTTGTCAATGTTTTCAAAAGTCTGGACTCTAGATTCAATGTGTTTTTTTGCCAGTGAATAGTGCTTCAAAATAGGAATAAAGACCTTTTTTTGTAGCTTTAACTTCAAGATCTACACTGGAAAATTACGAAGATGGAAATTGATGATATATTCAGTGAGACGCATTTCATCCGTCTATTTGATGAGCGAAACGTTTTCCGTGCTTCAGATCACAAATGAGGTTATTTAAGTTTTAATCTTTTATCGTGCATGTCCCATTGGATTAAATTTTGCAATAAAGAACCACTATCACTGGCTCTTCCATAACAGTTTAATTCCAGTAGCTACTTCTATATCTGGAGTTGAAACGCTCGTCGTGTGGTTTGAAACATCGGTTCCCTGATAGGAACCTGGGTACCAAGGAGCAACCAGTCCATGATTAGAAGAGAAAACATATCTCCCCTATACACCTACTCAGTGCGAAACAGCGAGCTTTTTTTCTCCTGAGCAACTATTCGGTGCAGAGGAGAGAAATCGTTTCTCTCCTGAGCAGCTAGTTAATACTTGGACTCCTCTGTAAGCACGAGCTAGTTGCTCGGGAGAGAAAACATTTTTCTCGAAAACAACTACTCAATGCAGAGCAGAGAAATGTTTTCTCTCCCGAGCAACTAGTTGGTGCTTAGGAGAGGAATGTATCCTTTCCTAAGCACAAACTAGTTGCACAGGAGAAAAAAAATTCGGCGAGTTAGAATGAGAAATTGTCAATGCCCATGTATATTACATGAAATTTTGATTAAAGAAGACTCACTGATGATGAAACTGCAGAAATGCGTATCTCGGTTTGAGGCGCGGCGCGGCGTCACAAACCTCATGTCATACTTTATTTTCTACGTGGCAAACTACCAAACGTCATTTCTTGAAAACGTTGATATTTTTTATTCTCTGAGGGATGAATATTTATGAAAATTTCAAGCCATAACGTTGGTTGGGTTTCCTTTCAGAAAATGAAGTATGAGCGGAAATTTTAAAACATTGAAACCGAGATATGAATATGTCAATAGAAGGACGGACGAAAGGCTGCCAAAGAAGTTGCTTGATTGCGTCCCTCCTGGGAGTAGACGTAGGGGACGCCCAGTGAAAGGTTGGCGGCAGGAGTTTTTAGAAGAAATAAGGGTTTGCCAACTCCCTGAAGGGCTTTGGAAGGATGGGGGACTTTGGCGGCTAGAGGTCGCAGAGCGCTAAAGAGCGCTATAAAAGCGGCACATACATACGTACAAACCGAGGTATGTATTTTCGTAGTTTCACCATCGAGGTGTAACAGGTGTGTTTTTCCTCTTTAATTGTGTATCAGGTCACTGCTTGCTTTGAAAATAGCATTCTTCAATCATCACTCTTACCTGACACTGACCAGTTACTCGACGAAAGGTCTGTCCGTAGAAGATGAAAGCTAGAATCAAATAGGAGAGCCGCTTGAAAAAAATTGTCATTTTGGAATTTTTCCGGAACAAGCATTGCATTATTTCACCATCACTTTATTTCCCCTAAAAGTTTAACAGGGATTGAATGAAGATTGTGAAAAGAAACAAAACAAAACTGATAGACCCGGTCCGTAAATTTATTGGGCACTCGAAAAATCACATAGACACTTTTCACAACCTATGGAAGCGGGATACTGATAAGCGATATTGCATGATCACCCGCAACCTCGTGTTTCGGCCTTCATCTGCATCATTAACTTCCCTTTGGAGATGAGTGTCCCTGATTAGCATCAGCAATAATTCCGCTTTCGTGGTAATACTCATTTCCAGCCCATTACCACGAAAATTCCACATAATGGATGGAAGGGACATACGGTGTCCTAAAACCATGATTAGAAATAAAAATCCTCTTAAAATCATTCTCCTCACGATGGAGCCTTGTTCCGAAATCAGCCAAGTTCCGATACCCAGATTATCGTTTTACACAGTTCATATTCTTTTGTTATACTTCGTGCCATTCGTTTATTTTTAATCCTCGGAGAAAAACCACTCATTTGTAAATACAATTCTAGCTGAAGCTCACTTCAGCTATGCATTCACCACTGCAAAAATTGTCAAAGCATATCGACACGCCCAGCGTGCATGGGGGCTATTTCCATTTAAATCTTCCGTCACATTCTTACGGCGCAATGATACAACTATTTGAACGCTCCGGAATGCGTGAGGTATCACGCCGCATTTGAAGGCGTTTTCAAATCAGCCAAGTTCCGATACCCGGATTATCGTTTTGCATGGTTCATATTCTTTTGTTATATTCCGTACCACTCGTTTATTTTTAATCCTCGTAGAAAAACCACCCATTTGCTAAATACAATTCCAGCTGAAGCGCACGTAAGCGCATTCATGACTGCAAAAATGTTAACGGAAATGGAAAAGGCCAGCGTGCATGAAGGCTATTTCCATTGAAATCTTCCGTTGCATTTCTAAGGCGCAATGATAGAACTATTTGAACTCTCCGGAACGCGTGAGGTATCACGCCGCATATGAAGGCGTTTTCAATACAGACAAGTTCCGTTATCGGAATAATCGTTTTGCATAGTTCATATTATTTTGATTCCATTTCTAACCACTTATTTAATTATAATCCTAATATAAAAACCACACATTTGTTAAATACAATTCTAGCTGAAGCGCACGTAAGCGCATTCATGACTGCAAAAATGTTAACGGAAATGGAAAAGACCAGCGTGCATGGAGGCCAATTCCATTTCAATCTTCCGTCGCATTTCTAAGGCACAAAGATACAACTATTTGAACTCTCCGGAATGCGTGACGTATCACGCCTCATTTGAAGGCGTTTTCAAATCAGCCAAGTTCCGATACCCGAATTATCGTTTTGCATATTTCATAATCTTTTGTTATATTTTGTGCCACTCGTTTATTTTTAATCCTCGTGGAATAACCACCCATTTGTAAATACAATTCTAGCTGAAGCGCACTTCAGCTATGCATTCACCACTGCAAAAATTGTCAAAGCATATCGACACGCCCAGCGTGCATGGGGGCAATTTCCATTTAAATCTTCCGTTACATTCTTACGGCGCAATGATACAACTATTTGAACGCTCCGGAATGCGTGAGGTATCACGCCGCATTTGAAGGCGTTTTCAATACAGACAAGTTCCGTTACCGGAATGATCGTTTTGCATAGTTCATATTCTTTTGTTATATTCCGTACCACTCGTTTATTTTTAATCCTCGTAGAAAAACCACCCATTTGCTAAATACAATTCCAGCTGAAGCGCACGTAATTTCAAAACAGCCAAGTTTCGATATCTGAATAATCGTTTTGCATAGTTCATAGTATTTCGTTTTCATTTCTAACCACTTGTTTATTTATAATCCTCCTATAAAAATTACCCATTTGCTGTGTACAATTCTAGCTGGAGCGCACTTCAGCTATGCATTCACCATTGCAAAAATGTCACAGGAAATCGACAAGCCCATCATGCATGAAGGCAGGCCCGTCACAAGGGAGGGATACCGCGTCCCTGGTACCGTTTGCCCGGGCTCCGGAGGGGCCCGTGTTACCCGTGAAAAACCACTCCGAATTCTCATGCAACCCTTGTTTCGTGAGAAAAAGTGAAAAATTTACCCTAAAAATTTCGCAAAAGGTGAATAGATTTTCAGAAACACGCTGGGGTACTGTAGCATTCTTCTTAAATTTTCAAAGAAGTATATTTCTTGGAAGATTTCTATTTATTTTCAAGATTTTCAGTACAGAGGGATATGTTTAGTAACTGCGTTTCGTTTTCCTCCGTCGTCAGATGCTAACAGTCTCCGTCTGGGCATCCTCGACTTCAATGGCTCATGGCTCAACTCCCTTGGCATAGACAAACGAAGGGGGAGTCCAGGGGTGCCTGGCCCTCTTAGAACTGAAAATAGTATCATAAATAATCCCCCCCTTAAAAAAAATAAAAATTTTCCAGATGTTTTGAATGCAACAATTCGCAAGTATTTTGTGCTCAAAGTAGGAAAAAAAAAACATAATTATTCCGCAGAAATTGATGGAAAAATTCTTTATGGAAGCTTCAAAATGCGTCCGATTAGTCGTATAAATTCTAAAATTTCTCGGGGGATGTCCCTCGGACCCCCCCCCCTCCGTGCTTGGGGCCCGGACCTTAAAACTGGTACCAGGGCCCGCCCGAGATGGGATGTGGCCGGCCTGATTGGAGGATGACGTTTTTGAAGTCATTCTGTCCCTGAGTATACGCTTTGGCAGGATTAATTCGGTGAGTTACTTTACTTGCTGCATTTATATCACTGAAAATTGTATTTCTTCGAAGGAGATGTGGTAGTGTGTAGTATACTGCCGTGCCGAGGAAGAAAGCCTCGTGAACATTCGAGAGTTGCCAAATTTCCTTCGGTAAAAGGTTTGTTTTTGAGGAGAGTTAGGAGTAATTTTCCTTGAAATTCTCAGGTATACTTAAGGTGAAATTGCGAACAACATTATCTGAAAAAATTGGACGAAAAACATTCTTAAGTTTACCCGGAAATTCGTGTTTCATCAATCGGAATTTGGCAACGCCTGAAGGTTCATACGACGTTTTTCCTCAGCGTGGCAGTGTAAGACTTAAAGGCCCTCGGGAGGCGATTTTTTACAGGGGTACAAAAATTGTGGAGGCTGAGACTTTATCTCTTAGATTTTTCAGATTTCCAACTCTGGTGAAGGATTGCGACTCTAGCACACATTCTAAAATTGAAACGCTGGATGCAGGGAGGGCATTTCTTGGTTGCGGTGTCTGAGGATCTCGGTTAACGTTTTATCCACTAAAGTTAAAGCAAATTCATGGAATTCGTTAAAACGTTTACTGAATTTCCTTTATGATCTTGCGATGCTTAAAATTGAAAGTTTCTTAAAATTAACCCAATAATTTCATCTCTAAAATATACATTAGCAGTAGAGATTCTGAAACATCGCAACCAAGAAATGCCCTTTCTGCGCCCAAAAACTCGGTTAACAAAATATTCCACACAATTTTGACCGGCGTGTTGTTATGATCTTTTTGCAAAAACCCAGCGCATGGCAGAAAATTGCAGAAGCCTACAACAATGTGCACCTCTGATTGTTCATTTTGATTTTCTCGAAACACAAAATTGTTGCACCCAACAGTTTCCTCTCAAAAATATAAATAAACAGTAGAGATTCTGAAACACCGCACCCAAGAAATACCCTTTCTGCACCCAACGCTTCAATTGCGTCTTTGTTTTGTCCTCTTCCTTCACGTTGTCTTTCGTAGCAACGGAGCTGGAGATTCGTGTTTTGGGCAGGTGTGACTATCCGTCCCGCTCTTTCTTGCCTAAGTTTTCCCCTGGTACTTATTTTGTCATCACCACTTCGACAACACCCAGACTCTATCCCTTTTATACATTTGCCGATTTCCTTTTTCATCAGAGTCTCGATAAGAGAATTTGCTCCGATACCGGCCCGGCAGCGGTGAGTACCTGTCGCCGAACGACCAGACAGAGATTCTACCGAGCGGATGTTCGGCTTATCTGACCACCCATAGCCCCCTACCCCCTTACCGGAGACTGACTGGAGACGCTACGTGAAACGAGTTGCGGCAGTCGGGTGTGTGAAGTCGGAGGTGACGGTTCAGTACATTTCAGTGGCTCGTGAATTTGAGGAGTTGATTTTTCAGTCAAGTTTGGTGATTCCTCGCCCCGCTATCCATTATTTTGAACCGCAACTTATTCAGTCCAATTCAATTTTTTGCTGAGTCGCTTTGGAGTTAAATTGGTAAGTCACTTGCTCACATCATCAAATATTGAAGGGTGAGAGCAGGAAGGGCATTTTTTGGTTGCGGTGTTAGAGTATCTTCATTTTCAATTTATATTTTAGAGAGGAAAGTAAATTTTCTGATTGTTTTAATTTTCAGCATTGTAAAATGTTACAGGGGATTTAGTAAAATATTAGCGAATTTCATCTATTTGCTTTGATTTTAGTGGATGAAACGTTAACGGAGATCCTTAGACATCTGTTTTAATTTTCAGCATTGTAAAATGTTACAGAGGATTTAGTAAAATATTAGCGAATTTCATCTATTTGCTTTGATTTTAGTGGATGAAACGTTAACGGAGATCCTTAGACATCGCAACTAAGAAATGCCCAGTTTACACTCAGCGCTTCAATTTTCCTTTTTAAACGAAGAGTTGTCTGACTTGAGAGTCCCTGAGGGGCGATTTTCTCTTTAGATTTCCTCGAGATTTTTTTAATCCTGGTAGTCTCACAATCAATGGAGTTACTATTTTGTCACGTCGGTTGTCATTGTAGAAGTTAGGAACCTGTAGCCTTTTTCCATGATTTTTGGTTCGAGGATATAGTTTTGGAAGTCATCTTTAGTTTTCTTCTTGCGCTTACTCCCATAATGTTGATTTTTTGAGTCTTTTGCCTGGATCGCAAAATATTTTGACTATTCGAAGGAGATGTGGCCGCGTACAGCCTCTGACTCGCATGAGTCTGAAAAAGGGGGGGGGGCGATTCTTTCTTTTGATTTATCCTGTTTTCAATCCTATGGGATGGATGTAAATGCGATGATACAGTAATTTGCCGAATTTTTGAGTTTAAGGTGATTCGATGGACGCCATATTTTGTGTCAGAACGGCATGCGACATTTCGCATCAATTGGTTCCATTTTTTCAGCTACTCGTCATTTTTCTCCAATTTTGAGATCGCAATTCTGTTGTCAGGAGACTTAAGCACTTACTTTACCAATTCTAACAAAGAAATCCAACCAAATAAAGGCGTGGTTTTTTTACAGAGAAAATGTCGCATTCGAGTACAGTTTCGGTATCAGTATCGAATGCGATGTTTTCTCTCTAAAAAACCAAGCCTTTATTAGGTTGAATTTCTTTGTTAAAATTGGTAAGTGAGTGCTGTAGTCTCCTGACAACAGAATTGCGATTTCAAAATTGGAGAAAAATGACGAGTAGCTGAAAGAATGGAACAAATTGATGCGATATATCTTATGCCATTCTGACACAAAATATGGCGTCCATCGAATCACCTTAACTTTGACCTGAGCTTACGGCGCCTTATGGATAAACTGGTCTTATGTTCATCCTATTTTTTCAGACGTTTAAAACCACTTTCAATTTTTCATATTAATGTGACATTTAATAATGACGTGTAATGTATAATAATCGCGTTGAGTAAGAATTAGAAATAAAATCCCAAGTAGCACAAATTGCAATTAGTAGCAATTACGTGAAAAAAAATATTACAATTGAACTGAGTGTTGTGTATGTTGCCTAGCTTCAATTTGAAGGGGTCCCGTTTATTGAAACTCATTGCAATAAAATTGAAATAAGCTGCAATTTTTCATTGCATTGCATTGCATATTGCCTGTCTTTCTGACACATGGAGCTCATTTTGTTGAATGTTAAAAATCGGCATAAATCGACTAAATGATGTAAAAATATTGCAATTTGATGGTAAAAAGTTTACAGGTGTATTAAAATCAAATTTCAATTTAATTTCATTATTTCCGTTGCACTGTGCTACTTGCGAATGATATATATGTCGCAGGCAATTAGCAATCGCCGGCAATTTGCAAGCGGTTCACACGTTGTTTCAATAAATCGCAATGATGCACATCGACATAATGCAATTTTTAAGGGTTATGGTCTTCAATAGTATGATCTGGGTCTGAAGCACCTTCATTTTTTGTGATACTGTACGCTTTATCACGAAGTTAGTTTAGTTGCCTGTCCGATCTCAACCCAATTAATGTCACAGAGTTCACCACACGCTCTTCTAAGTGCGGATATTCCTGCCATGTTTTTAAGGATGAAAAAGTGTCTACTCATATTACAGGCAACATAATCAGCACTCTAATCTTGTTCTTTTATTTTTGAATTTTATAATTTTCCATATTTATCCACCACCAGCTTGTAAATTACCGGCGATTGCTAATTGCCTGCGACATATATCTACATTAAAAGCCGTTCTCTCATCCTACAGTTTCTCGGCAGAAGAAACCGGCTAACAAGCATGAATTTCGCAGTACATTGAATCTCTCTCGGAAAAGCTTGTCTTGAGTAAAATATCAGTTTCCCGGAGATCGGTGGGTATTGAGGAAGACTGAGGTCTTCAGCGCCGATGCGCTGAAAATTACATAAGATTCAACCATCATAGTCCCACCATTTTTTTTGCAGACCTCTGTAATTTTTGAACTGAAAGACGGTGCACTAAATATCGATCATTTAGAATAAGATTTTCATGAAATCGATGACAGATTTTCATTTTACCGTATATGTTTTCCTAAAGTATTCCACGGTAGTTCCCCGCTTTAAGATTTAGGGATTGCGGGTTTTTATAGACTTCGTTAAAGCCACCCGTGCAGTAAGCGAGGTTGTTTCTAGGTTCCTTTCAGCCCCTCCTTCCCCTCCCATGTTGCAACGCTGCGCTGGCCAGTTGGAAAAATCAGATCCTTACGTTCGTCTCGTTTCGTCGTGTCGGCGTCGTCAAAAAGAGAGCTAGACAGCTTGTTTTCATTAACAGGAAATCTCAGACAGACAGCAGAGTCTAGACAGGGTAACAAAAGGCAGGTGGAACTGTCGAATTGGTTTGGTCCCTAAACTTCGAAACGATTACATAATAGGGAGCGACAAAGAGACTTATCGGTTTCCTGTCCGGCGAAATGTCTCTGAAACGCCTAGGGTAGAAGGGTTGGGCCCACACGCACACGTCTTTCGCCAGACCAAAATTGCCGTGCTAAGGAAGGACGCCGTATGAACATTCGAGAGTTGTCAAATTTCCTTCAGTAAAATGTTTATTTTTGAGGAAAGTTATGAATATTTTTCCTTGCAATTATCAGGAACGTTAAGTAAACTTGCGAGCAAAATTATCTGAAAAATTGGAAGGAAACTATTCATAAGTTTACCAGGAAATTCGTGTTACATCAAAGGAAATTTGGCAACGCCTTGAGGTTCCTACGACGTTTTCCCCTAGCACGGCAGAAAAGTCTCAGTGGTTTCAGATCGTCCGAGCACACGTGCGACCCCCCTCCCGCCTCCTTCAAACGATGCCCGGCCTATCGCATTTTCCTTTGCTAGTTGCCTGTTCAGTCTAGTCCAGAGATTGTCTCCCACTTGCGGGTAGTATCCGACCGGTGACAGTCATGGTGACAGTAGCCTCGCTTAAATTTTAAAATCTGGTCGCTGATCGTCAAAACGTTTCTTTTACGGTTGTGCTGCTCCTCTTGAAGTGCTCGTCAACTGTTTTTTGAGGCAATTTCTATGTGTCGTGAGCAAATCCTCGCTAAAAATAATCGTGGTGAGAAAGGCATTTTCTTTGAAACGAATTCTCGATCTGATCAGTTCACCCGTGTGTTGAAATCCAGTTACCTGTGGTTTTTATGGACTTTCAGGAGCGTTTCCGAAGGCTCCATTTGCGTTCGCGAAATTCATAAGTGACTCTACATGTGCGTACTCTCCCAATCGTGACATATTAGCAGCTTCAGCTTTACCTAGTTCAAAGTGAGTCTGTCTTACTTCATGTTTCTGAACGGTCGGATTGTCGGACAGTTGGATTGTGTTTTTATTTGGTCCTCTTAAAATGGGTCTTCCATATATTTACTACTCGATTTTTTTCTCCCAAGTTTTCAATCGATGCAAAATCTCGCAATGATTAAAACATTCATAGGGTTAGATCATTTTCGGTGATTCGATGGACGCCATATTGTGTGTCAGAACGGCATGCGATATATCGTATGAATTGGCTCCATTTTTTCTGCTACTCGTCATTTTTCTCCAATTTTGAGATGACAATTCTGTTGTTAGGAGACTAAAGCACTCACTTACCAATTTTAACAAAGAAATTCAACGTAATAAAGGCGTGATTTTTTTAGAGAGAAAACATCGCATTCGATACTGATATAGAAACTGCACTCGAATGCGCGATATTTTCTCTCTAAAAAAAATCACGCCTTCATTACGTTGAATTTATTTATTAGAATTGGTAAGTGAGTGCTTTAGTCTCCTGGCAACAGAATTGCGATTTCAAAATTGGAGAAAAATGACGAGTAGCTGAAAAAATGGAACCAATTGATGCGACATATCGCATGCCGTTCTGACACAAAATATGGCGTCCATCGAATCATCTTAAATGCCTCAATCGGGCATCACGTACGGTGTAAATTAATATTTCAACTAGAAACAAGCACCAAAGGATTTATCCGAAAATTCGAACCGTTCATGGGGCGATAAGTCATTTGCTGATTAGCTATTGGAGCAGTGGCGTAACGGACTTCCGCTGGGCCCCCCCGCAAAATTTTTTCTAGCCCCCCACCCCATATCGATAACATTTCAAAATTATCCTCCCCTCCCGCCCCTCTCCCTCCCTCGCTCCTTCCCGTTTTTCCTCTTATGGTCGGGGCCCGCAGCACGAAAATTTCTGCAAAAATCAGCCTTAACCACCAAAAATATCAAAATGGCAGCAGCTTATATCCTTTTACCTTTAGGTATGGTATGTGCAAGATTTAGCCTATTTTTACGTTATGTCCTTAGGTTGAATTTGACTCATCCCTCACCGTCCCGGATCCCGTACCCGATTGGGGCGGGGGCCCAGCCCAGGCCCAAGGATCTTCAGGGGGGCCAAGGCCCAAGAATCAAAGGGCCCCCAAGGGCCTTGGGGCCATTAGATTCTTGGGCCTCCCCCCTCCCAAAGATCGAAATACGAGAAGTGACAAAAAAAGAGAAAATTATCTAGTAATCACTGAGTGGTAATTGGAAAGCAGGGACCCTCCAGCAAACAAAAAGTTAGGAACAGTCCGAAAGAAGTATGAAAAACCCCGAGCTAACAATAAAAATCAGAGGAAGAAGCCCCATCTCTGTAAGTAGAGGCCAAATGTTTGAAACCAAAGTTGAGCATCAAAAAGAGAGAGAGAGAAAAAACAAAATCCCGGCGGCCGAGGGAGGGCCCCCTAGGCGTCTGGGCCCCCCTGCATAGCAGGGTCTGCGGGGGCGCCCGTTACGCCACTGTATTGGAGGATATTATATTGCAGGTGGAAATCAATTATTTCTTTCTTTTAGCATTCCAAAGAGGAGATGTAGGAATGTGGGAAGTATTCTATACAGGATGATCCAGCAGGGTTGAACGGCCGGTTAGGAGCCGAAGCATCCCCTCTTTAAATTGAGATTTCGATTTTATCGGATCATTTATGAGATTAGGGCTTATAAGTGCAGGGGTGTACAAATTTGCATGATATTTGGTTACAACCGTTGCCAAAATTCTGGAAAAACTATTTACTTTCCGACATTTGGGAAGGGGGCGCAGCTTCGACTGGGAACACTTTTGGAAAAAACTTTATACAACAAAAAAGTCTTATTTTGACCCATGACCCATAGAACACGCTCCTGGCCGCTTTAATTCTGGATCACCCTGTATAATACGATGGAAATGAATGACTTCACTGGTTTTTGCATCATTAACTTGGCCTCAAGAATCCTAAATCATGTTTTACCTAGTATTTCACCTTTGTGAAAGAGGCTTTTTAAAATCGAGTCGAAGTGATTACTTCTACCGCCTTCTACGTTTCGACTCAAAACTAAGTCATTTTCAGTCGGAAATATTACGATAAAAATTTAAAAAAAACTATGAAAAACCTGAGCCCTACATGGTGGTTTCCGGATCCCGAAAATGTGACCCCCAGTTATTTTCATTGTTATTCATGGCTCTAATCCTTTTGATACATTTCGATTATTTTCTTTTTGTTTTATTTTTCAGATTTTCCGGCTTCACAACCTGTCTGTTATGAACTTACGAGTCGCTGAAGGTATGTAGTCTTCTTATTTGACACTACCGTATGATTCGATATTTCCGCTTTTTCCCATTATGTTAACATTCCAATGATGCGTAGACTCAACTTTTTTCTTCCACAACCCTCATTCGTCGTCAGGGATATCGTTATTAACTTCATTCAAATTCATTGCTCCAATTTCCCACTTTACTTACCCATTTTCCTTGATTTCCACGGTTTTTCCTGACATTTTTTCATTTGTCTTAATTTTTTTAAATTTTCCTCGACAAATTATTTTCTCCCCCTACATTGTCTTATATTTGTGGCTTTTGCAAAGAATCTCAATCCTTGTATTTACTGTCCGTTGACTCTCCTCTTCTCCGTCAATTCACCCCCCCCCCCCCAACCCCGAAAGAACGTAATTCCATTTAAATGTTGCCAAATTTCTCCTCGCGCATTGCAGATCAACAAGGAAAATTTCGGGCATTTTTAACTGAAAACATTGATTATTATTCTTCAGATTTAATGGAAAAAAAACCCAGAAAAATGACTAAAAATTGCACAGGTACATTTGGGTAAAATTTATGAATATTTTGAGTCAATTTGGCTACCTTGGAATGGAGTAACATTCCCTCGTCCGGGAGACTACGCATTGGACCTGCCTTTCACGAAGGAGAAAACTCTCGGAGTTTTTAAGAATTTATTTTAAGGTTGTATTTCACCTAAAAAATTATAAACGACAGAAAATCTGCAACGTCGCAAACCGAGCTTCGAGGTTTGAAAGTTGGACCGTCGATATGAGGTTAATAATCCATCAATAATTAAATTGTTTGACCCTTGCCCCTTCATTAGCCTCATTAAAATCAGTGCGGAATGAAGCATGCGACTTATCGAGCTTCTGCGTGTACTGTGGTATCACTCGAAATTGAAGGCACTCTTTTATTCCTGTGAGCCTATCGTCGTTGCGTCACCCTGAATGTCTGTCTCTGTCAGTAGTCATATCGGATTTAAAATTTTTATCGGACTTCCTTTCGCTGGTTAGTGGTAAAATTTATCTGGTTAAGTGAATTTTATCTGGTTACTAGTGAAAAGGTTCAGCTTGAAGCACTTTTGCACCTGTTTGCTACAAGTGGGGAGAGGGGTTATTAAGTCGGCCAAAATGGCTTAGGTAATATTTGAACGGCCCCTCTTAAGAATTTCCTATGCTCAATTTACCGATTTTTCCAACTTTCTTTTATAGTCAGTGCTACGAAGACTCAGCAACTATCTCTATCATTTAGCGAAAATCGGATCGCCTTTGAATTTTAATAGACTGGTTTAGTATCTTCGTCATAGTTCAAGTGTAAACAGAGACATGACCTTATCTATGATTCGAGTCTTTCACGTTAAGGCGGTCCAATTCGCCCAAGTGTTTCTTGCAATCGAAATTTCTCGTGCTTGATGAGTTCTTAACTGATTCATGACCTGTCAATACCTAAATTGTAATGAATTAACTCACGAAGAAGTTGGACGGGAGGTTATCTCAGTCATATTTTTTTTTTTTTTTTTTTTTTTTTTTTGGGGGGGGGTGGGGTTTGAACCTAGAGGTCGATCGGTCGTTCGCGAATTGCGTGTAGGCAGTGGAAAAATTGCGTGGGCTACAACCTTGGATAATGGATGATACAAAATGTACTTCGTTTTGATCAAAATGAGCTCCATTTTTGCGCGCACCTTCCGAAGTTGTGAAGGCGTTGTTCTGCGCATTTCCAACGAGTAAAGAGGCGAGAGCGAGACTGGAGATCGTGCTATGTTCGAAGTATCCTGACAGTTTTGCAGGCGCTTCCCGTGACGCGTGATCGCTTTTCGCGGCAAGTTCAAAATTTCGAAAAATTTCCTCCGGAGGATGAGGTCCATTTTCACAGATCCGGTCTCAGTTAGTCAGTTATGGAGCAACGAAGCTTTCTCGCGTATCCGCAACAATAATAATGAGTTCGGCCTCTCTCCCGCTGACTCGGAGGTTTAAGGTGATTCGACGGACGCCATATTTTGTGTCAGAATGGCATGCGATTTATTGCATCAATTGTTCCAATTTTTCAGCTACTCGTCATTTTTTCCAATTTTGAGATCGCAATTCTGTTGTCAGGAGACTAAAGCACTCACTTACCAATTCTAACAAAGAAATTCAACGTAATATAGTCGTGGTTTTTTAGAAAGAAAACATCGCATTCGAGTGCAGTTTCGATACCAGTGTCGAATGCGATGTTTTCTCTCTAAAAAAACCACGCCATTATTACGTTGAATTTCTTTGTTAAAATTGGTAAGTGAGTGCTTTAGTCTCCCGACAACAAAATTGCGATCTCAAAATTGGAAAAAATCACGAGTAGCAGAAAAAATGGAACCAACAGATGCGATATATCGCATGCCGTTCTGACACAAAATATGGCGTCCATCGAATCACCTTAACACGGGGGAAAAAATTTGGATGGGACGAAGCGCGTGACGCAACCATTTCGATTTCCAAGAGGGTAAAAGTGAATCGGTCAATTACAAAATGGCTCAAGCGCCAGTTATAAAAATACGAAAAAACATTTGAAACTGTATTAACCAACCCGTTTTAAATTGCAAATTAACTAATAATGTGATTAATTAATTCATTGCTTTAATATTTTAGAGCTCTGAGATTTGTAAGGGGTCAGTTAAAACGGTGATCATACCAATTTTCTCGAATTCTCATTATAGGCGCTTGAGCTCTTTTGTAACTGACTGATTTAATTGCTTATGCACGCTATGGAGATGTTCCCCCCCCCCTCCCGCTGACTCAGGGACTTCAACGCAGGAGTACAAAAGTTCGACGCGTGATACAACTATTTCGACCTCCAAGGTGATGAAATTGCATGTTTACAAAATGAAGGAGAATAGCCTGTGTCAGACTATCAAAATACTCATCCAAAATGTCAAGGTCAAGTGCTGTGATTGGTCCCAGTCATCGAATAAGCCAATCACAGCACCTGACCTTGATATTTTGATGGCTAGCTTTGATAAAGTGACATAGGCTAATCTCCTCTCGACTGACTCAAAGACTTTAACGCAGGAGTACAAAAGTTGGACGCGTGATACAACTATTTCGACTTCTAAGGTGATGAAATTGCATATCGACAAAATGAAGGAGAATCTCTCCTCGGCTGACTCTAAGACCTTAACGCAGGAGTAGAAAAGTTGGATGGGTCAAGAGCAGAGACCGAGACTAGACATCGGGTTCCGCCGCAAGCTAGGTGAGACGCCGCGCCGCGATGCGTAAAGTATACTGCCATGCTAGGGAAAAACACCTTATAAACATTCGAGAGTTGCCAAATTTCTTTTGATAAAAAGTTTATTTTTGAGGAAAATTATGAATGTTTTTCCTTGAAATTTTCAGGAACTTTAGATCAAAATACAAACAAAATTCTCTTGAGAATCGAGAAGAAAAATATTCATACGTTTACCAGGAAATTCGTGTTTTATCACAGACAGTTTGGCAACGCCTGAAGTTTCATACGGCGTTTTTCCTTACCACGGCAATATACCTACGGTTTTGCAGACTCTCCGCGATCGTTTTTTGCGCAAAGCTCAAAGTTTCGGAAACTGAATTACATACCTACCATACGTAGAAACTTCTGTGTGTATTTTCTGCGATACGTTTTAAACTTCCGGGACTTGTCAGCCCTTCTAAGGTAGAGCTTATAGTGTCCATGAAGGATATGCTTTCAGAAGAAATTAACTTCAATTTTGGCCGTAGCACAAGGCGGCGTTTTATGACCCGGCTCCTGTTTGTTTATCCTCATTTTTTACTCGTTCATTTTTTAAATGGTGGCCAAACGGTGGGTAAACATTTTTTCAGCCAAACGGTGGGTAGAGGGCATCCGTGAAGAGATGGAGTGATGCCAGCTTCCGGAGGATCTCTATCATGACAGATTCCTGTGGCGGGTAGGCGTCGCAGAGCGCTCTAGCGCGCCGTAAAAGCGGCTCAAACATACACACACTCAATTTTTCTAAGATATACGACTAATAGCTTGTGAGAGGGGCATGTTATCATGGCATTAAGTTCTTCTAGAGTCTGGCAGACTTACTCCACGCGTGTCTAGAATATATAGACGCGCGTGGAGTAATAATTGAAAGGACGTACGGTAAACGCCTATTACCTCCTACACGCTCTTTCTCATAAAAGGTCCATCATTCATACCTCGCAAATGTCCGTGCATTTCCGCGAGATGGAAAAGGAAAGCTAACAAGTTTGCTTAAGTTTTTTCCCCTAGATCTGTAAAACCAATCCAACCGTATATTTCAAAGCCCAAGAATGCTTTTTCTTTCTTTTTTTCTTCTTTTTTCTTTTTTTCTTTTTTTTCTCTTTTTAAATAAACAAGGTAAATCTTCAATCTGAGGTTGGCAGATGAACCATTATTGTGGTCGGTATAAAGTTTAATTTTTCTGAGCCGTAGGCATCGTACACATACATCTTTACAACACGTCTAAGGGTTTATAGCGGGAGGACGGTTTTAAATTGTGCTTTAAAATAAAAGCGGCGCATGTTATGTGTTTCAATAAATTGCGATTACATGGGAAAGTTACTGCAAGCAGATCAAAGTGATGCGTATGTTGTTTATTCTCCATTTGAAGGGACTCCTCTTTTTAAAATTTTATTAGAATAAAATCGCAATAAGGTGCACTTTTTTGTATTGCAAATTGCCTACCGCCTTAAACGTAGAACTATTTGATCGTTTACAATGGGAAGTTATTAACCAAAGGATGTAATGATAATGCAATTTAAATGGTAAAAAATGGCAATTTTTTCCATTAACTTGTACCATTCTTTCAAATTTCCGTTGCTCTATGCTCCTTGGGAACGATATTATTATATTTATGAAAATTTTATGTTGAATTTATCTATTAAAGCATTCTTTTCTTTCTTTTGCAGTAATTATGTTGTGGTATCTCTAACATTTGTCAAGGCTGTGCAAGAAGACAGAATTTTCACTTTGCATCTGAGTTGTTCCTGAATTTACGGATCATTGCTTCATCACGGTAAAATCTCTCCAACTCCTTCCTGTTCTCAGAATTAATTGCGAACGAATCGACCATTTGTCTATACTCTCAATTTTTCAAAGTGAGCTGGTACAGTATTCTTCCTCACCACTGATACTAGCAGTTGCGAGTTGCCATTTAGGTAGATTTTAGTAAAATCAGTCCAACTTCATTCCACGTTGCCTATAATTGAATCTCTCAGTTTGAAAACTTCCAAACTCGGCACGGTGCTCCTGAAGGGGGTTTAAATCGAAGTTGGTCATGAACGAAAAATTTGAGCTAGATGAATAAATTATTTAAACATTTGTTGTAAAAACTCATAAGTAACGACAATTCTGCAAAATTTCCCGCCCAAACGCCATCATTTTATGGTCGAATCCCTAATTTTGAAGTTTGAAACTTTGCAACGTCGTAACGGGAGCAAAAAAATATTCTCGGTCATGAAAATTTTAGGAAGTCGCACTTCAGACGAGAAAACAACATATCAAAAATTAGATCAATTCACCGAGAAATGGGCCCATGTCATCGTGCTACCTTCAAACCCAACATTTTCAAGTTTAAAACTTTTGCATCGTTGCAACGAGAGGAAAAAAATCTCTCCGGTCACCAGAATTGGCCACTGGATTTTCTGGGGATCATATTGACTATATTATAAATTATCTAATAAGGAATTACTATTTGTGGCTCATTTATGAATGCACTTATCTTTGTAGAGAAAATCAAAGTTTGGGCGAGGAGGAAGAGCAAAGAAAGAAAGAAGAAGAGAAAAAAAGAATTGAAAGAGGAGGAAGAAAAAGGGACAGAAGAAAGAGAGAAGAACGGGAAGAAGAAAGAGGAGAATAGGAAGAAGAGAGAGAAGAATAGGAAGAAGAGAGAGAAGAATAGGAAGAAGAGAGAGAAGAATAGGAAGAAGAGAGAGAAAGTAGGAAGAGAAGAAGAGGAAGGAAATCAGGAAGAAGGGAGACAAGAGAGGAGCATTAAGAAGATATAAAAGAAAGGAGAACACGGCGGAATGAGAGAAGACGATGATGGGAGAGGGGGCGAGAGAAAAGGGGGAAAGGAAAGGAGAGAAAAGAGGGGAGGGAAGAAGAGAGAGAAGAATAGAAAGAGGAGGTAAATTACAAAGAAAAAGAGGAAGAAGAGTATACAGAAGGAAGAAAAAGAGAGAAAAGAGAGAGGGAAGAAGAGGAGAAAGGTGAAAGAGAGTAAAATAAGGTAAATAAGTAAAAGTAAAAGAGAGAGAAGATGAACAAGACTGGGGAAAAGAAAAGAGGAAGAAGTAAGTGAAGATGTAAGAAGATCTAGAAGAGAGAAACGATGAAGAACAAAAATAGCAAGGAGAGGGAGTGTGGGACAGAAAGGAAGGTAAAGAAGAAGAAGCAGCACACATTCTGCATAAGAACATTGATGGCACTTGCGCTGTTCTAAAAATGAGCCTTAAATATTAATTCCTCATTGCAAACTTTAGTTCTACACAATTAGGAATGAAGAATTTTTTTTTTTTCGCGTTATCAAAAGATTTCAGTCTTTTAATTCCTGAGCGGCAGGGATGGATGTATCCAACATATGACGGTGAAACCACTAAACCGCGTAGCTATCTCGTTTCGATTGTATGAAGTCGTCTGAATGGATGGGAGTAATTGGTGAAAGAGCGGTGAGTAGAGTTATCGTGAGTGTTGTACATCTGGAAAATCAAGAAAATTTAAAATGGAATTTGTCAATATTATCTTCATTCTAAATTTCTACGATTATCTTCATTTCGTTCATCTTTTTTTTAATTAGTAATGATAGTTGCATCCTTGTTAATTAGTTTATTCCATAGCAATAAATTATTTCATTAATAAAATTTTTGTTCTGGGGCTGCAATGCTCCTTCCTCAAACATAAATTTAGAAATTTTGCAGCGCTGGGCCTCCAAAGATTTGCCTTTCATTCTGCTTTTTCTTGCTTCAAAAAACTTTATCAATTGAGTGAGATTTATTCTGCTGGAGAAGAAAAAGAGATAGAAGAAAAGAGAGAAGGAAAGAGAGAAGAAAAGAGAGAAGAAAAGAGAGAAGAAAAGAGAGAAGAAAAGAGAGAAGAAAAGAGAGAAGAAAAGAGAGAATAAAAGAGAGAAGAAAAGAGAGAAGAAAAGAGAGAAGAAAAGAGAGAAGGAAAGAGAGAAGGAAAGAGAGAAGGAAAGAGAGAAGGAATGAGAGAAGGAATGAGAGAAGGAATGAGAGAAGGAATGAGAGAAGGAATGAGAGAAGGAATGAGAGAAGAAAAGAGAGAAGGAATTAAAACAGAAATTAAAGAAGAAATTATAGAAGAAAAGAGAAAGGAGAGCACGAAGATAAGATAAAGAAAAGCACGAAGAAAAGAGAAAGAAAAGTATGAAGAGAATAGGAAGAAGAGTAGGAAAAAAAGAGATAGAAGAACAGGAAGAAAAGAGAAATAAGAGCTGGAAGGAAATAGAAAGAAGAGCGGGAAGGAAATAGAAAGAAGAGCGGGAAGGAAAGAGGAAGAAGAGCAGAAGGGAAGAGGAAGAAGAGAAGTAAAAGAAGAGAAGAGAGAAAAAGAGAAGAAAAAGAAGAGAAGAGATAAAAAGAGATGAAAAAGAAGAAGAGAGAAAAAGAAAAGAGAAAGAAGAGAAGAGAAAGAAGAGAAGAGAAAGAAGAGAAGAGAAAGAAGAGAAGAGAAGAGAAAGAAGAGAAGAGAGAAAAAGAGAGGAGAAAGAAGAGAAGAGAGAAAAAGAGAAGAGAAAGAAGAGAAAGATGGGAAAGAAGGGAAAGAAGGGAAAAGAGAAAAAGAAAAGAAAGCAGAACAAATAAAGAACAAAAATTCAATTAAATTTCGTACTTTATTTTCAGTCCCTCTCCCTCCCAATTAGAGAGTGGTCTTGGGGATTTTAAATATTCTAGCGCCCAGTTTTACTAGAACGAGGGGCCTACGATACCGCTGCTTTTGGTTTGGGGTCGCAGTAGTGCTTGCACTTCCGTTGGACGGTCGGCAGCCATGGCATCCGTTGAAGGCCGAAACCATTGACCCAGGACCCGGGTGCACGGGAAGGCCTGAGGGCGGTAGAGGAAACCCCTTCGGCAGATAAAAATGTCTTCGAGTTGGTAGGGGTCTCTAATGGCGAAATGAATAATTAAAACCTCTTCATCCTCTCTGTTTTTCTTTTAGTTTTCGTTAAAGAGTGGATTGGTATAGATCTAGCGGGTAACTGACTATTTTCTTCTTAACTTTTCTTGATATTTCAAAAGCACATTACTCACGAAAATTCTATTCCCTCCTCTTTCACCAACAGCTCCCATCCATTCAGGTGACTCCATATGATTATCTTCATTTCGTTTCTCTTCCTTTTTAGCAATGATAGTTGCATAATTGATAGTTATTTTTCCTAGCAATAAATTAGAGCTACTTACCCCTATCTTATTCATCAATAAATTTTTGTTTTGGGGTTAAAATGCTCCTTTTCTCTATCATACATTCATTATTAAATAGAATAAAGGATGAATAAGGAAGTAAGTGACTTGCGAAAGAAAGAAAGAAGAAAAATCGATATAGAGAGTAAAAAAGAGATGCTAAAAGTGCATTAGAAGTTTTAAAAACAGAGTTTGATGACATTGAACAATATTTTCGACTTAATATACCCTTGAGACCCAAAGTGTTCATCTGCCTGCCCCCGTGGCGTCGCCTGAGTAGACCCGTGAAATTGTTATACGTGTCGGCAGAGTTCCCAATATTCGTGTTGCCCCAAATATATTAGATTATTGTTCTGTCACCGATCAAAAATTGATTGCTCGGAGATTTGATGGAATTTTTTTTTTTTTTTTTTAATCGAAGGAAAATATACCGTAAGTTCAGATATACTTTAGAGTTGCAATGCACGTCCAGTGCTCTTATTTACCTATGTGTCCTCCTAGCCTGACTGCTCATCGGAGCAAGCTACGTTTTTTAGCATCTCAAAAGCAATATCAACTCCATTATGAATACTTATGGGTAAGACATAAAGGAGATATACGGATGAGAAAGGACAGACTCCATTACCTGGATTTATTTTCATTCGAAATTCATTTGATTTGCAATCAGTACAACAGGCAGCGCCTGATAATGACAGGTCGAATCCTACCTACAGCAGATGGCGGCACCGTTTTTGCCAAAGTTAATGGTCCATCTAGACTAATGCATTTGATTAAATTTAATCGGTGACTGTGCTTTATTTGAACTAGTATCTGGACTTGAAAAGGAGATGAAAAGGAGATGAAAAGGAGATGAAGAGGAGATGAAGAGGAGATGAAGAGGAGATGAAGAGGAGATGAAGAGGAGATGAAGAGGAGATGAAGAGGAGATGAAGAGGAGATGAAGAGGAGATGAAGAGGAGGATGAAGAGGAGATGAAGAGGAGATGAAGAGGAGATGAAGAGGAGATGAAGAGGAGATGAAGAGGAGATGAAGAGGAGATGAAGAGGAGATGAAGAGGAGATGAAAAGGAGATGAAAAGGAGATGAAAAGGAGATGAAAAGGAGATGAAAAGGAGATGAAAAGGAGATGAAAAGGAGATGAAAAGGAGATGAAAAGGGGATGAAAAGGGGATGAGATGAAAAAGAGATAAAAAGGAGAAAAAAGGGGATGAAATGAAAAAAGGAATGAAAAGGAGATGACAAGGGGATGAAATGAAAAAGAGATGAAAATGTGATGATAATGAGATGAAATGAAAATGAGATGAGATGAAATGATAATGAGATGAAATGATAATGAGATGAAATGATAATGAGATGAAATGAAAATGAGTTGAGATAAAATGAAAATGAGTTGAGATGAGATGAAATGAAAATGAGAGGGGGGAGGGAGGGTCTGGTGCCGGAGCCTCCTCGTGGTGGACCTGGGGCGGGTCTCCGACCCGTGCCAAACGCCGGCAAACCTGTTGTGATTCTGCACCCTCCCTCGCCTCAGGTTGTTAGCCCATATCTCCTCACACATCGTAACGAGCAATTTAGGATCAAGCGCATCCTTGGTACGTTATTACCTTGGTTGTTAGCCCATATCCCTAATACGCTCGGGCATGGATCAACCGCTTCCTTGGTGCCTTGCTTCGCGCAGCAAGGCTGTTTACACCTTGGATGTTAGGTCATATCCATTGCAGCCTTGGATCAAGCGGAACCTTGGTACGTTATTACCTTGGTTGTTAGTCCATATCCCTGGCTTACGGAAGAGATCAAGCGGAACCTGAGGAACATGAGGGGAACGATGATCTTCAGAGGACCACTGATAGTAGTTAGGCCATATCCTTGAACCGCGAGGTGCAAGGATCAACCGGTACACAGTGGTCTGAAAATCCCGATCTGTGACCGACTTTGCGCGATTCGTCAGCGACCAAATGCAGGGGTGACCGATCGAAGCCTGGCAATCCTGTTCTGGTCAACCTCCGGTATCTGCCGATGCTTGCGCACTAAAGCCGTCATCCCCCCGGGACACTTTAGACCAGGCAAAGTCGGAACCGGAGGGTCGGACGCCTCTCAAACGGGCTGGTGGTTGGGGCGATGTTGCAGATTGAAGTAGGTTTTGATGCAGGAGAGCCGAATACTTCACGAGAGTTCCGGGGCCTCGTGGCTCAGGGTATTCTGTTCTCCTGGGCCGAACAAGCCGGACAAAGTTTCAGCAATCTCTATCTCTGTAGAGAGTATCCAGCTACGAGTTTGTTGTCTCACTGCTGGATCGCACGGTGGTAGAGGAGTTCCCTGCATTCGGTCATTGGCGAATTGTTCACTGTTGTGAGTGAGGGTGCGCCCAGAAACCGC